ATCGAGGTTCTTTCCGGACCAACAACCGGGCTGAGTATGCTAAATTAGTGAGAGAATCGCTGGCAACTACAACAAAATGAACACATTTGACCGTGATTTAATTGTAATACACGTTTCAAAATGATGCCGAAGTAACAACATACTGATACCGGTTAGTAAAAACCATGAATTAATGCTTTGACAAGTCTGCAGACAGACGGCAGGTGAGAAACCTTTTAAAATGCGTGTTTTCTGAATGGAGATCGGCTAAGCTAACGTTATATGCTCCGACCGTCCACACTCACAACAACGGCCTATACAGACATAAATAAACCAGCGACTGTATTCACCATGACACAGACAGTCTGTGGTTTGTACTTGTTTAACTTTTGTCTAGTTTCTGAACAGATATGAGGAGCTGTGAGCTCTGAGTGCTAACAGCTAACGGCTGATGTTGGTTTTGTGGTTCGCATTGAAGATGACATCACGGCTCCGCCTACACTGTGTTACTATAGTTACTACCCCAGTTCCTAAACTGTAATGGAAAAAAGCATAAAGTGAGCCTGGCCTAACAAGGCCTAACGAGGCCTAGCCATACCGTACTAAGCCGAGCGAGGCCCTGCCGTGGAAAAGCGCCATAACTGATACCAAGTCATTACATTTTAGCATTTCTTATTGGTCTCTAATAGGATTATCCTCTATGTTAAATCTGTTCACTACCATTGCATTTTAAATATACATCCCCCCTTCAACAGAGGGCAACAAGGTATTTTTAGATGCACTTTAAGCTATTTAATAACAGGAAGCAGGACTAATTGCTAAGCTTTGACTATGAGTAGTTTTTAATTAATTTTCTCTGAAAGTTGTAGAGCAACTACTCCCTGCCAGAGGAGCTGCACTGGGCCGCGGGATAGACCTCAAGTCTGTTGACGTCTACTTTATAGACCAGCACCACTGGTCAATTCACTCATTTGATGTTTTGATAATGATAGTGGAGCGGTCACAAATAAATCATACTAACATATCCATTCAGTTTTCCCTTACCGCCTGTATGGAAGCATTTGCACTTATTCTCTGTTAACTCATTTAGTTACATTTTGGACTGCGTATTTGCATCTGAGTGTTTAGTATCAGTGATATAAGGGTTGTTTACTGAGAAAGGGTTCCTGATAGCTTGATCTATCCAAGTCCTCTGGATCAGCAAATCTTGATACTGTAAGGGTGTTGCACATAGTGAAGAGGATAGCCTAAGAACAGATTACTTTTGAAGAAGGACCTTCAATAAGTCAAGCCTGCTTTGAATACTCCCCCCTCCTAAACTCATACTAGCTTAATGAGCTACATGTCTGTTCCGTAGCTTTTCATTGAACTGTAAAGATGGAGTTTTTCTTGTTCATCGAGTGTTTTAGGAGTCCTGTAGCTGACTTGTTTGTAGGAAGAGTTCAGTGTAGATGTTACTCGCTGATAGCACCACCACATTATATGGATTATCAGGGCCATGTCAAGCATCCATTTAATACTAATGTACACTTTGTGATTTACAGCAATGATGGGAAGGCCTGACACCATGTTAGGTTATCTGTATTTAGCATGGGGTTATTTTGATGTAGCAATTAGCAGCTTTGCAACTGTCATTTTTAAGCTACATGGAAGCTGTGGTAGTGGATGTTTGGGAGCAGGTCATTTTTAACAACTGGCTAACAATTATGCAGATTTAAGTGTTGTGTTGGCTTACAACACTCTGTAAAGTTGTTTTAAACATCTGTCAAGCGCGAAAAGTGTTAATATATTTCTCAAAATCCTCCTTGGTGAGATGTTCTGAAGAAAAAACATCACGCATTTTTTGTATTATGAATATGATGCATGACTGTAGAAAAAAACAAGCTCACAAGCAGAAGCAACATTTCTAATTCATGCACTGTTTTTTTAGTAAGATTTGAAATAGCTTTACTGGATTACTAGAAAAGGGGAACTAATGAGCCTTTCACACTCCTTGAGGTTGTTGAATCATCAATGTTTATGTACCACCATTAAGCATGTCTAGGAGAAAACTATGTAGCTTTAGCTGCCAATTCACTGGAGGTGCATGCCCTCTCCGGTGGCAAGCCACAGCTGACTATTTAAAGCTGATATGTTAATCCACATCTCAAATTGGACCTGCTTTTACACACCTAGGTAGCATTTGCTAACCTCCCTGGCTACAGGAGCTGCAGCTGAAAAGGACAATTTCTAAGTTAAGTTCTAAGTTTGAAGCCAAAATTATAGAAAGGACCGAAGTGATTTCCAGCTACTCTTTAGAGGCCTCTGTTCTTACTTAATTATCTACTATTTAGGGAGGATTGTCGTTGCTTTCAAATTTGTTCCGGGTTTTTTTTTTTTTTGTGCGTGTATAAAGCATGTTGCTCCACAGCACTTTGTTTCATCAGATAAGCAGGGGAAGGTTGTTGTGGCTATTTAGAGAGAGTCAGAGGGTGAAGCGAGGCTTGAATTTGGCATGGAGCCTTTGTGAACGGGGCAAAGAAGGGCTATGATCTAAATAAGTCAACAGGAGGCAACCCAGTGACAAGGCTCTCAATGACAGGTTATGTCCCTTCTCAAGGACATTTGTTAGAGATCTATGCAGACATCTCTACTCTTCAGCATGAAGGCGCCACTTGGGTATGTGTGTGTCGACAGGAAAACAATAATGATTTAGTTGTAAGTGGTCTTGCAAGATCAACACCAGTCTGTCTTTTTGAACTAAAGCTATGGAAAAGTCTGCATTTGAAATGTTATTAAGTAACTGTATTAGTGGACTAGTAGCAGTAGTTTGCTAGTAAAACAATAGTTTTCAGTGGTTGTATCTCCAGAGGTGCTTGTAGCTTATGTGAGTAGCATGTAGGTCTGCGTGTTGAGAAAAAGGGAGGTTGTCTGTTGACTTTGCTTGAAGGGAAAGCCAAAGGAGAAGCAGGGCTGGAGTTTGGCAAGCAGCCCTAAAACTTGGACAAAGAAGTCAAAATGACGTCATTACATGATTTATCTACAGCTTATTCAATTGTTGACAATATATACACAGAGTCATGCCACAAAAGCAATATCTAAAATGACCTGTTCTGTTTGGAAATGTAAAAGGAAATGGACCACGCTTTTGGGAGGTGGCCAACTTGACCTGGTAATGGTTGGGCTTCCCTTTTAATTTGATTGGCATTGAATCTCTTGGTGTCATCCACAACACACTGAAGGCATCCATCTTTTGTCTTAGCTGCTGTCTGTCTCATCAAAAGATTTGACAATGAACTAAGAGGAAGCCATAGAAACATTTTAGGGCCATTTACCATCAGCTTTTTTTTCTCTTCTGCATACTAGTGGCTGCGTATGTTGTATATGTAAGTGCTTGGTTGGTAGTTATTTAGACATTTAAACATATGTTGAATTACAGAAGTTACAAATATTACCAATCAAGGTAATATAATGAGCCATATCATTACCAAAAGAACTTGTTTAAGCCTAAACAGAAGTGATCTTCACAGCAAATGACGTTTATCCCTTTTACGGGGATACTCTGCATTGAGATACCGATAATGACAGCCGATACTGGATGGAGTAATGTTATAAAGAGGCTTCTGAGGGTAATGCTGAGAGTGTTCCTCACTCTGAGAAACCTAAGTGATATAAAAGAGAGCAAGTATCGGTGGCATACACTCATGGTGTAATCATTAAGCAGGAGAGGATTGTTAATGGCCTCAGCAAAACTCTGAAAACTTTCCACTGTCCAGTAAGTGTACAGGAATGAAGCTCTTGGTGTTTAGTGAAGGGGAGGGGCACAAGAGAGGGTTCTCAAAGGAGCCAAGTTATTCCTGTCCTCTCCTCCTCCTCCGCTCCGGTAGGCGGATACATGTCTAGTCATGTCCTTTTGGTATATGGAGTAAGAGCTCTTGACCCTGTGTGGTCCTTGGCTTTTATGAATCACTTTTCCAGGAAGCTATATATGCTGTTACAATGTTGTCAAATACATGTTACACGATAGCCTTTATAAACATTGTTTTATTTACCAGTTTTTTTTTACAAAAACGCTGTCTATGGTTTTGATGCTTTATGTGTGAAATATAAGATGGCTGTAAGTATAAAGCTCAATAAGACTTTCACATATCCTCTAAAGTAACAGTATGGCAGGTATTGCGACAGACATCCACTGTTGACGTTCAGGGTACATTCTGAGGTTTTGGCATCTGGCCAAATACAGCAATTCTTATATCAGCTGTGCAGGAAGGACCACTGACTCATTAGTTAGGGATGTCGGGAATAAAGGGCCAAAGGGCATATTTATCCATAACATACCGTGGTATTTTAGCGAATAACTCTCGTGTTTTTAGTGTCTGCGGGTTTCTGGGTTAAATCAGGACGGAGTCAGCAGATGCCACAGCGAGAGGAAACCTACCTCAAACGTACTTCGCACATTTCTAGTATACATCCTTGCATGTCTTGCTTACACAAAATCCACATAATGTTCAGTTTGAATGCACTATACTCAACTTTACAAAATACTTGGTATGAATAGTAGGTTAGTGTGAAAATATAAACACACCATGTGTCTCTTTCCCTTTTGTATTAATCTTTATCGACCCGGCTTAGCAATGGCCTTTATGCCGATGTCTTCAGTTACTAATGACAATTCTTATTTTAGACATTTTTAGACACATTTAATCCACATAAAAACATGGAAACAAATCTTCTAGTCTAGGGTTAAGTATAAATAATGTCAACAGAGAACTGCGTGTTACTACACGTACTGTAAAGAAGTGAAAGCTCTGCACATGCTGCTAAAGCTAACTATAGCATTTACAGTAAACCCAAAACCAAAAATAAAACAAACCCAAATGTTTATGTAATACTGAAAGTAAAACTAATTTGAAAGTGGAACTAGCTTACCCTGAGTTACAGTTTGACATTATTATTGGGCCATGTTTTTTTCCACTCACTGAGTATGTTAAAGTCCAAGAAAATATTTATAAACTTTATGACATTTATTTCTCTCCATCCAGAATATCCATGAGCTCCGATTTCCCGCACTACAGTTTCAGGATGCCAAATATAGGGTTTCAGAATCTTCCCCTCAATATCTACATTGTGGTGTTTGGGACGGCCATCTTTGTCTTCATCCTCAGCCTCCTCTTCTGCTGCTACCTAATAAGGTAAGATCCATGCTATCTTTGCATTAACACTACGCTTTTTTTTGTAATTGCTTAAAACTAATGGAAACTATAAATCTAGTAATCGACATGATTAAAAACATTGCTGTAAGGTCAGCGCTAAACTTGTCTGCATGCTGAATATAATTTATTCACCAGCTGTATGGCATTTTTATTTGGCTTCCAGTTGAAGTTGAATGATTTGTTTTATTTTTTAGAAATGTGTGTTTTTACATTTGTCTTACTAATCATCTTTTTTACACAAGGGCACAATGTTTCAACAGCACAGTTTGGAGGAAGTATCTATGATACTACAATTGATAACTTTACAGGATCATGGCACAAGCCAAGTTTAAACCTCTTGTTTGTCATCAATAACGTTCATCTAGTTAAAGCTCCTTTATCAGGCTTTTAGTTATGAGTGTAATCCAGTTATTCAGGAATAGTGGAGGTACTTTACTGGTCATTCCCGAGCCCCTCTTTTCAACCCCACTGGTCTTTTCAAAGAGTCCTGGCTGCCGTTGCTGCAGTGGTTTTCTCCTGGCAACAACAAACTGAAAATAAACAATGTCCAGCGTTTTTTATCTAAGACAGTGAGAAGCAGCAGGTCTCAACAAAATTCACCCCTCGCCACCCTGCCATATCCTATGTTGCAGGGCAAATGGTAAGTAGGTTAACTACTACTGTTGCTACGATTCCTCATCTAACTGTGAAGAAAAAACCCTATAACTTTAGTTTAGAACCATGATTCAAAACTAAAGTCAAGATTGCCTGGTTTAGTGATTAAAGGCAAAAACAGCAATTTAGATGCATTTTATGGAGCCAAATCCGAAAGGACTGGCCCCAAATGACTGAAATGATATGCACCATCATGCATGACGACTGTACAATTCATTTTAAGCCACTACTTTTACAAATTGGCAATAGTTTAATTAAACGTCAATGCCTGCCATGAAATCGTAGGGTTTCTATGCAGTTTATGTGGCTCTTGTTTACATTGAGGTGAATCAACGTTAGCATTGACATGTGACCAACACTCACATATAGTTTGACACAAGGCAGACTCTCACAGAGGAACTCAAGCTTCTCTATCAGTGAGTATTCAGTTCACACACACATATGTGAAATATGCAATGGTGTATACATCTTAAATAAATACAAAATATATTTTTAAAGTATTTCGTAAGGGCATTTTTATCTCAAAGTCTTGAGGCATTGAATGCTGAAATCATGATCATGGCCTAAACATTTTATTTGGAAAAGTAACTTTTAACATGTATTTAGTGTTCTTGAATGTTTGGTGACATACCACAAGGTAGACCATTTGGACATGTTTCATTTAAATTGATGGCATACATATATTAGATTTTGAGTTCCATATTAAATGCAGGTGAATTATGATAATGCAGCTTTAAGAGGGGGGGTCCATTTGACCACCTGTTTTTAGTTTGTCAGCTGGTTATTCTCCTCTTACACTTTGACATTGCACTTAATGGCCCCGTCAGTCACCCACGACCCCCTAACCCATGACCAGTTGTCCTCGACCCTTAGGAGTCTCTGCACCTTTTCCTGCTGACTTCTTTAAAATGTCAGTTTCTCTCCTAGACTGTGCTGCTTGTTTTACAGATCCCTCTCACTCTGCTGCGAGAGGTTAAGGTTACTTGTAATGGAGGTAAATCATACAAACCTATGAATTTCTCCTATCTCTGTTGTTTTCTCCCCTTTTTTCTACATATTTTATTATTATCCTCAGTACATAGATTCTCTTCTTACACAGTACTCTTTCTGTTCACTATTTGGATTGAGTTGTTTTGTGTTTGCTCATTTGCAAGAGCGATGATAACAAAGAGTTACACCAACAGTTGGATATAAACCTTTAACATTGGTTGTATTGGTTATATTTAACTTAATGTTTGGTGTTCGGTTTGACACTAAGGCCTAAGGTCTTCTATGAATGATATCTGCTAATATGTAACTTGAACAAATAGCTAGAAGTTTTCAGTAATGTGCTCTATTTGCACTCCTTACTGAAACTAGTTATTCCAATGTAATCTTTATTTAGTCAGTATTCTTATGTTTTCACCTGACTAATGTCAGAAGGCAAGTATTACATCTATGTTTGTCATTTCTCTCTCTTTTTCCAGGATGTATGAAACTCTAACTGACCTGGTCTGTTGTAAAACCCCTTACTCATCAAACAGATGTTTTGTCTTTCCGTCTCCCCAGGTTACGGCACCAGGCGCACAAAGAGCTTTATGCATACAAACAAGTAAGCATTCCAATGACACACACACAAACACACACACACACTTCAGATAATACAATTATTCAAAATGTAATGCCCAGCAGTAATGCGGTTTTGGGAGTATGTGTCTAGTAAAATCATGAAGATACCCTCTGGTCCTTAAAATGTCAGTTCAGCTGGTGCATAAATTAAGTTTCTAACTCTTCTGGTGGCTGCAGGTATTTTTGAGGTTTATGCTTATTAATGGATCTAGACCATTTCAATATTTAGAGTTTGTTCGGCGGGCACAAGTGTGCTTTCAAAAAATTCTAAACTGCACTTAAGCTGAAGGGAAGCAAGTGGCTCAGCCGAAAAAATCAGGTTTCACAGCTGGAGTGATGGAGGGTAGAGACACAACTCCCCTGTTCTTTAATTATGTAATACAAGCATGCAGAAAAACCCAACATGTCAAAGTCAAACACGCTGGTGACCATTAACCAACTACCTGCCAGCTAAAAAGAGTAATGGGTCCAGCTTCTCTGTGGGTTATAAGGTTACCAAGCTCATATTATATATATATACACACACACACACACACGCATACACACACAGGCATACACACACAGGCATACACAAACCCCAAAACACCTTTGTGCACATGCATTTACTGTAAGACTGTATTGTGAATTATATTATAACACACAGTATCTCTGATTCTCTTTTTTAACCTGTTGTTTTCTATTTACACTCTGATTATTAGATGTTTAGTCTTTTATTGTATTCCCAGATAACCTAATCTGCTCTTATCTCTCACTGTGCCTCTCAGGTCATTCAGAAGGAAAAAGTAAAAGAGCTAAATTTGCATGAGGTAAGCACTCATCTTCTTTCTTACGTTATTATGAACTGATCTCTTACTATCTAGTGTACAGTACATTCTGTCATTTAACCTTCAAGTTCACAATGTGCAGTTTTATCAGTTATTTCGATCTCCCCAGTCACATCCCACTTGATTTGAACAATACTTTTGTCAAAAGGTCTTCCTCTCTGTACTTTGCTGCTCTTGGTTATGCATTAGTGATGGTTGTGCCGTAATGCACTGTGCTCTCCACTGATTTGAAATAAAAGGCTAAGCCCTGGGACTCTAGAAGGTGCATTCATGCTGACATTATGAACATAAACCTTTTGGCTCTGACAATACAATTCTAAAACAGTAAGGACTCATGGGATTGTTCTGGCTATCTGTAGGTCTTCTGGGTTTATATAGTTTCTGGGTTGTGTCTAGTTTGTCAACAGTGATGAAATAAACATTATTAGTGATTTAACATTCAGTAAATCAGTCTTCACTGTCTTGTGAAAACTTGCATCCCGTGGTTAAGTCAAGAGTCCTCTTCCTACCGTTATTACGTAATGCTTTATGTCAGCTCGGCTTGGTTGGAAAATTACAGGCAGCAATCGGTGTGTTAAGCTGGCTACACACCAACCCGATTTTGGGAGTCAGAGGCAGTCGGGCATTCGCGGCGCCCTACTCAGGTTGGTGTGTCCCGCACCGTCGTCTCTTTACGGCACCTTTTCACACAGGTCAGAGAAAGTCGGCCCCAGCAATCACTCTGATTGGCTGTTCACACTACCGCTGCCTGCTGGTAAGGACAGTTATTGCCACTCGTCGACTGAAGTATTTGCGGTGTGTTCGTAGCGGGCGGCGTAGCTGACGCAGGCGGCGTAGCTGACGTAAAAGTTGGGAAGCCTTCGGTACGCGTTCTTTGGTCTCAGGTGGGTGTGTAGCGGCCTTTAAGCACCCGCACTGACTTTGCATCCAGGAACCCTTTAACACTGAAGTGCAAATGAAATGTTAACAATAGCATCTTCGTGTGGGCTTTGACACGTGGCTAAGCACACTTTCTTGTCATCAGTGTTGTAACTTCCCACTGTTTCATCCGGCCGCGGGCTTGCGCTGTTTATGTTTTTAGAAACGGAGAGAAAACATTGGAAGGTGTCATATGAGTGAAGACTGTGACACAATGTCCAAGCTGTATTTGTTTAAAAACAACACACACACACACACACACACACACACACACACTAGCCTTGGTGGAAGACCTAGTTTTGAAGGCTCCCACGCCAAAGGATCACCCTGGATACACAATTATTGGCTAAGATGCATAAATTCAATCTCTGCATTTTTATGGAATATGTGAGTGAGAGTGCTAATATGGGATCAGCTTACTGGGCAACTCATGTTCAAGGTTGTTTGATGTGAAACCTGATCAGTTATCCTTTTTGTAGTATGACTTTAAACCCCTCTGTCTCATATATCAAAGAAGACCTCATACACTATGATATGTGAAGAAAAACATAATGCAAAACCATCTAATATCTTTCATTTTTTATTATTTTTACAATCGTAGTTATACTCAAATGTACAGTACATACAGTAGATGTGAGCTAATAGTTAGCCTATGCAAGAAAAAAACTGACCCGCCATAAAAACAGCAAGTAAAACCTGTTGTCTATGGGATGGCAGTCGACTGATTGTTCTGTGAGTGAGATTGTGGTTTGCCTTGTATTCAAATCAGTATGTAATCGACTGCTGGGACAAACTGCTCTAGATAGAGAAGGACGTGATAACTTTTGATAAACATAAAACTATACCTGGTATTAAACTATAACTTAATTAAATCTATATTAAAAGTCAGTATCTGTTACGGCCCCTACACACGGCGGCGTGCGTTGAAGCTTGCCGGCGGGCATGTCTGACGCTCGACCAACAACCAATCACATGAATCTCTGACCCCAGACACACAAGCAGCGGTTTGATTGGCTAGAGCTTGTGCTGGCATATGATTTGATTGGCTGACGCTTCCGTCGAAGCTTTGCTCCCACAATGCAGTTCGGCGAAGCGTGACGTCACCCCATTCAAAGTGAATGGGTAGAAGCGTTGAAGCTTCAATGCACGCCGCCGTGTGTAGGGGCCGTTATGGTTACATTATTTTATCATATTTTAGAAAGGTGTGTAAAGATAATGCAAATATCAGAGGTGATGCAAAAGATGCCTCCTCACTAGAGATACAAGAAGAGGGTGTGTTTGTCCTAATACCCACTTGCTATGGTAAGGTTTTTTCCCACAAGCCTATCTGTTTTGCATTGAATTAGTAACTTGCTCTTACAGGGTTCATTCAGTTAATAGGGAGAAAGAGATGTTGTCAAAAGTTTGGGAAGGTTGCCAGATCCCAACTGTGAGAGTGACACCGTAGACAAGGCACTGAAAGGAACAAAAACATTGATCTTTTCACGTGAAAGACAGACAACATAACAGAGGATTGTTCTGTGTCTAAATATCATCAAGAGACAAAGCTCAGAGCCCCCATGCTGTTCTTTTCATCCCTCCTTATCCATCCACCTCTATAATGTAGAGCTGAGAAAATATATTCTGTGTGGCTAAAGGGGTAACAGTCACAGGGTTAGACTGCCAGATTAAAACTCTTTTTTTGGAAATGTTACCCACGGGTTGGGTGAAGTTTTGTGATAGAAATACTTTGTGGGCTTATTCTTTGCCCAGTTTCTTAAGATTTGAAATGTCCAGTTCAATTTGCACTGTTTGTCCTATCAATGCTAGTCCAATGGTGGTCTGGAGAGTGTAGTCAGATGCCACTTGCTTCTTTTTACCAGCCAATAATGAGTTTCTCTGGGAGGTTTGATTATTGCCAACCCTGACCTATGCTCTAGATTATGAGGGGAAAACAATGACATTGCATATACAGTATAAGTTGCCAAAAGAAGGTTCCTTGGTGGGGTGGGCTTACACGTAGGGACAGGGTGACAAGCTCGGACATCCAGCATCTGCAGGAGAACCTCTGTTCCTTTGCTCTAAAGAAACAGCCATGATGGTTCTGCCTTCTGATTGGAAGCCTCCTGAATGCCCATTATACTGTTTATCCCAGCTACATGTTAAAAGATGAGATGTCACTGTAACCTAGACCCCCGACCACTTGTGAGTGGATGACTGTGGGCTAAACTGGCTTTGCTTCAAACTGTTCCAGCATATTCTTGTAAATGTATGTCAAAATGGAAGTATTCACCCAGGATGCACTGAAAAAGATGAACATTCCCTCGCATATTTTACTCTAGATTTAGCTCGAATGACCTGGTCACATACAGCCAAAACATTAAGCTAATGCTATCTGGCAGATCATGACTTGTGGCATCATGCCTGGTGAACAGTTGCGCGTGTGTGTTTAAACAAACACAAAATGAATAACAACTCCAACCTGTCCTTCAGAAGTGCCTCTGTCACAGGACACCAGTGAGAGATAAAGGACTTCTGTTATCACTGACTTGTTTTATCTAATACGACAGAAGCTATTGCTAACGGAGCTGAGATCATTAGATAGTAGAACCGGGCTACATAGCCCATGAAAACATGTTTGTTTTTCTTTCAAAGATCAGGTTTTTATATGGTCTAATAGTCCCTCTGGGGTGCGGGTCCACTTGTATGGCTGTTTCTTTATATCTTTCAGGCTTCCTTAGCTCTGTACCTTGAAAAGCAAAAGCTGGGGGAAAGAAAGTTTCACATCGCAGTGTTTTTACAGATTTTCTGTTAAACGGAGGAATCATTTTTTTTAAGGGAAGCCTCTCTCAAGGAAGCCTCTGACCAGCAACTGAACCAATCCCCAGTGTGAGTTTAGTGTGAGTTATGTAACAGAACACAGTGGATGAGTTACTGCTCTGTTTTTTGTGTCAATTCTTTGCAGATGTTGGCCACAGTTGTCTTTTTCATGAGCGCTTGACCTTTGCTTTCATACACCAACACATAGTTCAGATTAAGACTTGAAGGAACAAACACCAGTCAACCAACAAATCTAAAATGTTGCATTGTCCCCCCCTTATAAAACATCTCTAACGGCCCCCTCTTCCTTTCAGATTTGTGCGGTGTGCTTAGAGGAGTTCAAACAGAAAGACGAGCTGGGGATTTGTCCATGCAAACATGCCTTTCATAGGAAGTAAGTATGAGGTTTTGTTAACATTCATGTAAACACACAAGTGCACAAACATAAGTCAAGGACATGTGGAAAGGTGCAGATTTAGACATGTTCATACCATTTTACCCACCCTTAAGCATTTTAACCGTGACACAGTAAGTCGTTGTAAATAGACATATTAAAGCTCCCCTATAATACTATTTTTCATCAATATATTATAGGTCTCAGATATATACAAAACATGTCTCTGAACTGTTTTGCTCGAAATACCAAACAGATCATGCATTGTAGCATCCCATAAACCCCTCTGTTTCAGCCCTGTTTCGAAAGTGCTGATTCTGTGTCTGTTACTTTAGATGAAAATAAGGAGCCACTCCCCACGCCCCTCTGAGAGATATTTGGTTAAAAAGAACACATTAGGCGCTTTCACACCGGAGTACTTTCCCCAGGAATAGTTCCGATAGTTCCTGGGATTTTGCGTTCACACCAAAAAGATCTGGAACTAGAACTTTTTTTTGCGAACCTTTTCATCCCTTTTTAGTCCCTGCTAGAGAGCAGGAACTTTCCTGGGGAGAAAAAGGTTCCAATTTCTGATTGGCTGGGCGAATTGCAAACCACGCCCCGTAAAACTCTAAAAAGTTTTGTGAAGCCGCCATTTTATTTGCTCGCATTATCACTATTAGCATTAGCATTAGCCCTGCGCACCAACGGAGAGAGACTAACTTATGGCAACACAAAAGAAAACATGGGAGCGGTGGAGATGAGGAGGTGTCGGCGCTTCTGGCGATTTACTCGGAAGGCTTCAGTAGAAGCTGCTGGGAGTCCCAGCAGCTTCTACTGAAGCCAGTCCCCAACTCCGGGGACTTCCGGCCGGGGACTTCGGGTGGCAGTATACGCCGTGAAGTTGCCTGCCAGTAAACCCAAAGCAGAAGAAGAAGTGACGGCAGCGGCTCCCTCAGGGACTTATTCCGGTGTGAACGCGATTTACTAGATAGTTCCAGGAAATAAAAGTTCCGGGAACTATTCCTGGGAAAAGTACTTGGTGTGAAAGCGCCTAATGGTGCTCGAGGAGGAGATTCAGGTGGTAACGTGGGCGGGTGTTACCTTGGTTGGTTATTGGCTAATGGTTACACAACCCAAAAAATCGTTATGACATCATAAAGTGGCCAAAATCTGATCAGCTCATTTTCAGACAGGTTTTTATATAAATGGATCAGGGTAAAAAGAGGGCGTATCTTTTTCCCTGAAACTTTCAGAATCTCTTTACACAGAGGGGACACATGTTTATGTATAAAAGACGTGAAAAAGTGGATTTCGCATAATAGGTGACCTTTTAAAACATTTTCAGACACTTGAGTGAAGTTATTTTGGATGCAGTGCATGTAGGTGACGACAATAACAAAGAGTTAATGGTTATGTATATTTGTACATAAAACTAAAGCCAACTGTGTAGACGTGTGGGACAACCCAGGACATGATGGATCCCTTGAGCCAACCCACACACACCTCCCCCCGCGCCCTGACCATTGAAACTCTGTTGTTTGTCAGCATGACACCTCCCTTGGCCTAATTTTCCCCCAGTTGCAGCAGGAGTGGTCACAACTCACTGAATCCACTGGATAAACAATCCTTTAGTGTGTGCTCAAGTAAAGCCATGCTGCTTTAGAGGGGGAAAGCAGACCATGAACAAAAACATCAGTGGTGAAGAGCATGCTATCTTATTATTATCTCTTTTCAAGTACTGGATCAATCATTATATCTATAATTGTCAGAAGATAGTGAAAGCTACCTATTCAGATGTAGACCAAATGTCTTGTATTGACTGGTCAACAGTTCAAAAAACAAAGATAATCAATGCAAAACACACATTAGTAGAGCTGGAACCAGACAATGTTTTGCAGTTTGGCTGCATTGACTGAGTTAATTGACTGCTTGTTTCAGTGTTTTCCAATTTTTACAACATTTAAGTTACTTTCAGATCAGAGAACTGCTAGGTGCAACTGTAATATAGACTACCAGACTCGATCATTCTGTGAAACTGCACAGCCCCTGCCTCTGTCTCAGTGAGAGTTCACACACAGCTGGAGCGCAGAACAATCTCACAATAATGAAGCTGTCTGTGACCTGATGTTTGACCTTATGCACAGTGTTGTTGTACAATGTGATCGCCACACTTCGTTTAAGTTGAATATATTTAGCCGCAGTGTGTGCATGGCCAATAGTCTATGTGCACTGTTACTAAATCATCACAAACATGTATTTTCCATTTATTTACTGCAATGTGTGTTTGCCTACTAAACGGTATGTTTATGATAAGCTAAATTCATCCTGAAGAACAGATATAATAATACATTTAATTGTGGCAAAATAGGATTTTTACCTTACGCACCAGCTTGCCAAGCTCATTAGCAGTTCTACATATTCATTGTTGTAGTTTATGTCCTATGGCCTTTATAATATTATTTTCATGATATAGAGGCTTCAGCAGTGACTTTGAGTAACCTTTGTGACTCAACCTAACCAGTCTTTCTGTACTTCTTCCCTTATCTCTCTCGTGTTTTTGCCTTAACCGTATGATCACTGTCTGTTTTCCTCCAGGTGCCTCATTAAGTGGTTGGAGGTGAGGAAAGTGTGCCCGCTGTGCAACATGCCGGTCCTGCAGCTCGCCCAGCAGGCTGGCAGCACGGAGCCCGCTGTGCCCATACAGCAGCCTCTACCCGGCATCGAGAACCTGGTCTAGCAGACTCTCTCATTGCACACTACACACACACACACAGACACACACCCCATCATTCACACCCTCGCCTGTACAGTTACACATCACTATGAGTCTGTGGACAGAGAGGAGAAACTGGAGTTCATGCGCAGACACAAAAGCTGCCATCGCCACCGCTCCTATCCTTACATTGGTTTCCAAAAAAGGATTTCCTGATATCAGATCTGACTGATTATCAACCGTTTTCATGTTTTTTCTTTCGCTGACAATGAAGAAGAGTTGATCTAGAAGAGGTTTACTTCTTGGCCAAGATGTGGTCGATAACTTTTCTCAACCAAAGCACTTTTCTGGGGACACCAGCTAAAGACCAGGAGGAAAAAAAAGAAAAGCCAAGAACTACAATACACTAAAATATATGAAATGTTTGATTATTTTTAACAAGCACTTTACGAGAAGGCAAACCTTAATTGCTTGTGATCTTAGAAGCAAGGTTGTGTTTTATATTTTATCATTAACTATTATTTTTATGTATTGTACAGAGCCTTATGGGTTTTCATTTTTATTTTGTAAATTATACAACAAATCTCAAAGGGACAACAATACCTATATCAGTAAATAGATGTCAGGAAACAATGCTTTTAGCTGTAATTGCAAAAAAACACACATAAGAAATTAGACTCAAAGCAACCTTTACAAATGTGAAAAGGTTTGAATGTGTTGAAAACCAGAACTCACACGAAGCCTATTGAACTCGTTCCCTCATCGCCTGTTTGTCGTTTTTTACAATGTGACTGTATTTTTTTATTATTAATTTAAACAGGAAGAACCGTAAACAAATTGTATTTTCATTAAAGGAATTCACCAGGTAACATCCGATATATATACAAGTGCTGTTAGGCACAGGCTATATGTAGTCACCCCATGCATTACTCAGAAAAACAATCATGCCTCTCCAACAGAAATCACAGTTCGATGTAACTGCTTTAACAACTGTGATTATCTAAACAAGTATTAGTGGGTAAAAACTGGTGCTTTATCCACAAAACTGTTCCACAGAAAGAAAAACATTAATGAGGCAATATTATACAAAGATCTACAACGTGTAACATTAATGTTCCGGTTTCATTTTGCTCTGCTGCTGCAATATTTTTACTTTATTGAAGATGTGCTGTGTTAATGTTACAGTAACACACTTCAGATAAAGGAGACACTTCACAAAACAACAAATGGCAAGCATGTCAAGTTGATTTATCTCAAATTCGCAACACATCTCCAGAAAAAGAAATGATTGATAACCCAATTTATTAGAGACCATGATGAAGCAGACACTGCCGATTCAGCTCCTACTTAAAATGTGCTGCATACACAGATGCAGTTTTCTTTTTTGTATCTCTCCCAATATATTATATGTATTTTTTTTATTTTATTTATTGCAATCTCTTGGTACAGCTGCATAGAGTACTGTGTTTGAGTTTGCAGAATGATACCTGCATCAGAATTACTGCCCTCAGCAGATCATCAGCATATCTGTTGGTCAAGATAAACACTATTTGTAACACACACACACACACATGCACACGCACGCACACGCACACACACAGGGAGGGGCTCGAGCTGCCAGTCATTTGTCAGCAGGTTTTAATGAAGCAGCATTTTCATTCATGCACACACACACTCACACACAGACATATAAAAAGGGTAGTAGTGCTTTTTGGCTGCAGCATTCTGGTGCTTTCGCCTCTCTCCCTCTTTCTGTACGGTACAGAGAGCTTTTTCTTTTGTGCCAGCCGCACATTAACTCTGAACCCCGCCAGCTTTTGTGGTTCTGTTTTTGTTCTCATCCTTTGTTAGCTGCATCTGGTAAATGGGTTGTAGGTAATTGTGCTGATCTTTAAAAAAAAAAAGCTGCGTGTCAGAGTGATGGACCTATGATGAGATGGTGTATTACCTCGGATATGTGTTACAATTGTACTTTTAAAAAAAAGGTATGAAATACATTAGAGAATATTTAGATCAAGTTAAACAATGTGCTCTGGAGTTACAAAAGAAACGTAACTGATGGAAAATAAACAACTTAACAGGATTATACTTTTGAATTCTGATTGGTTTATAAACACACCAACATTTAATTGGGCCTTTGACAACTCAAAATGTCAAATTAGACTTAATTCTCGAACACAAAACACTGTCACAGGCAGAGTTGCAGAGGTTCCCTTTACATGGATGGGTTTAAATAATGACAATGCCATTCACTTCCTGTGGCAGCAGAGCTCTGGGGGTTGATATGTAATCTCTGCTGAATGTCTGCACACACCCCACAGTGGTGACCTTTGTGGTTGGCTCAGAGCAAGCAGCAAGATGACAATGTCAACTGTTAGGATAAAGAAATTCTGCTTTTGCTTTCATCTGTTATGAGTCCTTGATCCATGCCCTTATCACGGTCCAATTCTCTGACACTAATGCAGCCCTTCCCACTGAGGATAAACTATAATCATTTCCAGGCACCTCAAATTCAAAGAAACCTAATGTCCACATACGCCTTATTTAAACAAAACCTGCCAGAATTACAAAAACAAATACATATTTTTCTTTGGCTTTTAATGAAGAGGTTGTGGCTTTATGTTGGAACAAATAAGCAACAGTATGGCAGGTAATGTACTGTATTTGGTACCTTTTTGCTTCTTAATCTTAAGAAGAAGCTGCCACTGTTTCTCTTATCTCACTGCAAATGTCCAAGTATTATAAGTCTTTTTGCCACTGTCCCTGAACAATGAGATCTTTTGTAGCTCAGTGCGAGTAACACAAGTCTTAAACGGTTTTGTCTTGGAATGTAAAGTTGTGAAAGCACGCTTTTTTGCATAGTCAAGTTGCCACTGATATCACCATTGTTAAATGTATGTAGACAAGTGTCAGTAGTGTATTTATGAATAAGGTGCAAAAAAGATGCTCCTTCGTATGAAATAAATGGCAGCTGAGCACTTCCTGCCATTTGGCCATCTTAAGTGTTGTGTTTGATTGTAAACACGTATAGCCTTTCCAACTGAACGTCCCTTTTACCTTCTTGTTTGCCGTCCTAATGCCACTAAAATCAAAGTGCCAACCAAAAAAGGAATGATTATGGTTTCAAGTCCTAGCCAATAATGAAGATGGTTTACATTTTGAAAGGAAAAGAGACGGGGAGAGTCTCTGTCACGTAAACAAAGCAAAGGGAGCCAGCCATGAATATAGATAGCATCAGGGGCGGACTGGGACTAAAAATCAGCCCGGGACTCTCGACCGGCCCACTTCGGTACCGCAAGTAAATACCACTAGTAAATTGTTGACGGGGGAGGGGGTGCTAGTGACTTATCCGACAGGCCCACTTTAGTACCGGCCCATCGGCATTCGTCCCGAACGTGCCAGTCCGCCACTGGATAGCATTAAAAGGCTTCCCACCTCTGGCTTCACGATTGACGTCAGCGCTGCTTTTGAGTTAACACTATTATAAATAGACCAGTCACAATCCTTTAAAAGACGACGTCACTGCTTCACATAAAAAATGTAGTCGGGGTAGAAAGCGTCAGAATGATGGCCTCAGAAAGCCATGTTCTGGAAGAAAATGACAAACCTCTACTGTTTTATTAAACAATATAGACAAGGGTTTTCATTATATTTCCATGGTTGGTTTTAGCGACCAGACCATTTAGTATTTGTAATCTCTATCACTGCCTCCCTGAAGTGAACTTTCCTCCTGTTTTTATTGTGTGTTATTTATTCCTCTGAAACTCTTGTAGTGCCCTCCGAATTCACAAACAACCTCCCTCCTTTACCAGTGTACCTGGGCAACCACCCCCTCCCCCACACCCACACACACCTTTTTGTTAACACTGATATGTTTGTGGACTCTCACAGACATTGTTTGTAAAACTAAGAATTCTGCAGCAGAATATTTTTGGAGACAATTGCTGTACAGTATTTGTAAGCTCTATTTTTGTATATTGCTATTTTGGAGAAAATAATATGCATTTTTCTTTTTATTGTTTTTGCTAATTTCATCTTTATTCATTTTAAGAAAATGTTGCATGTAACTGACTTGAACTGTAAATAAAAATCTCCAAGTTTTGGAAACATTTTAGTGTTTTTCCTTGCATACACTCAAAACATTATACCCTGGGAATGATTTGAAGATATGTATTGCCTTGGATATAAAAGTTGATGTTATCTCATACAGGTTACACAGTATATTTTTGTTGTACAAATGTAATTATCAACTGCTCATCATAAATGTGTTCTGAGGTTTGATAAATATTTAGCTTGGGAATTGTCAAGTCGACCAGCTAGCCCTAAACATTTGTGTTATACCTCCACCTTGTGGTTACACAGCGTAAGTCCAACTCTCATAGACTGTAGTCTACATGATAACCACAATTACACTTTCTTATGATTTTTCCTGCTCTATAATGTCGAAGCACCCCTTAGAAAGACATAAAGATAATTGCAACCCTCAAAAGGCATAATTTAACATGGTGTGGAAATGCTAGTTACACTGTTCTTTCACATTTCAAGCCTTATATTAAATTGTGGTTGAATCATAAAGTACACATTGTATATAAACACCTTCATAACGGATATTTAAGAAAATACCAGCAGAAGCAGATATATTTTAGTTAACCCATGCATTATTAGTTCTCTGTCTAAACCTGGCGTCCACCCACATTACCCACAATGCAACTCGACTGCCCAGTGCCCACCTCGACAGTCGGAGATCCAGGACAGGTGTGTTTCAGGTGACAGCGGCTAATGTAGCCTGAAGCAGAGAGGAGGTGCGGGCTGAAGAGGACTGGTAAGCTCACTTTATAACTCCACATGCCCAAAGACTTTTAATTGTACCCACCTGACTCATGAGCTGAGCCACTAAAAGCTTCATTAAACGTTGGCAATTTTATGCAGTAGCTTCTCTATGGAAAGCCAAGTGTAACACTATTCGCCTGTATATTTGATATACTTACGTTTTGACTTTCCATACTTCTCCCTTCATGAATGCAATCAATGGTGTTCTATTTTAAATAAGAAGCAGCCTTTCTAATTTCGGTGGGTGGTTTACTCAAAGTAACACAAAGAGCATTATACTTACAAAACCTGTAGCCTACCTTAGCAGGTAGTTTTAAACTCTTTTGCACCCTGATGCCTGGGATTGATGAGTTTGTCTTGACACCTGACCTCAGTGACCCTGGACTTATTTACTCAGTGTTTACCAGTATGTTTATATGACTGGTATTGTTTTCACCTTATGAGTCTAAATGTGGTCTGGAGACACCTACTGTAAGGGGTTTTAGTAATTGCCTGTGTTTATATGTCTGTCTTTCTGTCTGCGGACAGCTGTTGTCAATGCAAATGTGTGACAATAGTGCAAGATGCAGTCATAACATTTGACAGGTGTGTAGTTGTAGTTGGGCTTAACTTCTATCTGTTGCATGATGCCGTTCGGCCCACAAATGTTTAATTTCGTAGACCTAAATTGGATAAGAGGTGTCTGTAAATCAGCCATGTTTAGGTGAATAAACTTAAAGTTTAAATAAAAATCACAAACAAAACAGCACACATTGGTTAAATGGGACTCTATTCAAATTATAATTGAGATATAATTAAGGAGTTAGGGTTAGACTTTGGGCCCATAGTAGGTTTATCTGCCAGGACCCGTTCTTGTTCATTGCACACTTCGTAGTTTATTAATGTCCCCCATTTGTAAAGAAGACAAGGTGCATCTGTTTGGTGTGTGTGAAACGGTGTCCTTTGGCAAATAGACTCAGACTCAACAAGTCACTATGATGAATGTGACACACCGAGAACACATTTAAAACCATAAATCTGAAGCCTTTCTCCATGTCTAATTATTAAAACACACATTAGAAGAAAAGACTAATGTGGAAAGTGTGCATGCATTAAGTTACATATAAAGTGCGTATATCAAATCTTGATTGCAGTCATAAAATATACATGTATATAAAACAAGATGAGTTGTATTTTATCCAAAAGATAACTTTAAGGTGTGATCAATAATCGGTCACACCATAATAATTTGTTTTTTGGATATAAACTGAAAACAATATCTGAAAATGATCAGCAGTTTCTTCTTAAAAATGTTTTTTTTACTCTATATATTAGATGTATCATACATTTCTGTTCACTTCATGCAGGAAGAAAACAGTTAAAAGTGTGAAAAAAAAGTAAGAAGAAAGTGCCTGTGACAGAACAGGGAAAGCTTTAAAAAACACACATTGTGACTTTGATGACAATAAACAAACTGAGATATTTAGATTTGAACAACCTTTAATTCTTAACATTTCATCACACTGGATCATCTAGATGTTCTAAACCTATCAACATAAGTGCTTCATAAAATGATTGTGAGGTTGTTCATTTCACCATCAATGACATACTATGTGGTGCCTGTGTTCTGTGAAATAAAGGCATCACTACCCAGTTACACTGTAAAGAGGAACTTGTAGAGCATGATGCTGAGGTGACACACAACCAGACAGCTGAGGGGGGCATGTGCAGCAGCAGCAGCAGCAGTGTTGGTCGTTGTAGCTGCGACGGTCGTAGCTGCAGTTGTAGCTGCTGCAGCGGTGGGGGTGGCTGCAGCGGTGGGGGTGGCTGCAGCGGTGGGGGTGTCTGCAGCAGTGGGGGTGGCTGCAGCGGTGGGGGTGTCTGCAGCAGTGGGGGTGGCTGCAGCGGTGGGGGTGGCTGCAGGTGCCGCAGTTTGAGCATGTGCTGATGCTTTTAATAAAATAGAGATAAAACAACAATAAAAGAGAGGACTGTTTCCTTTTCCAAAAAAAGTTGCACAAAATGTTTTACTTACCGATGAGCAGGAGGGGTATGAGGATTGTCAGAAGCATCTTAAGTTGCTGTTGCATCTAAAAGAAAAAAAGAGAAAATATGTTTTCTTACTTGATCAAGATAAGTCAATTCCAATTTAAAATGTAAGTCAAAGAGTAACTTAAAGTCCAACAGAGAAAGAAAAAAACTTCATTAACAGCTGATGAAACTACTAAAAATAAAACTGAATAATTCCTTAAAGTCAGTTTTCCACACACCAACAGACTGAACAAGATGGTACTTACTTCTCTGGATTTGACCTATGATGCTGCCTTGAGTTGTGAATGCTGCTTCTCTCGTCTCGCTCTTCAATTAGTTCACCCTCAGATTCTAGCCCTGCCTTTTATAAGGTGAATGACCAACAATTGTGAAAAAGACACCCAGCTTTGAGCATTTGAAGAATGATCATTCCTCTGGTCACCTCAGTGTAACTAATTGCTTTGTTTAACTGTGCATTTTTTAAACATGTCATATTGTTCTACTGCAACAAAAAGGATTTTAAAAGCAAACAAGTTGGCATGGCAATGAAGGAGTTGTTCCTCCATGTGACACAAAGACAGTAGTGTCTACATTAATAGTGGATGTCATTCAAAGTACTTGGAATGGGAAAGGTGAGGGAAAAGCAAAGTGTCTTTGTATGCAACCTGTTCTCCAAATTGACTCTTGCTATTTAAAGTGAACATACAAAACAGTATTTTTCCCTGAAACCTGAGTCTTGTGATGCATTCATTTACGTAGATGCTGTGTGACAAAGTTATATTTCACAGTTGATACCAGTGTGTTGTAAGAGGTCAGAGTAAAACTAACCCATTGCCAAAGATTACATTATTATTCAGTTTAACCGCTCCAATGTTCATTTATCTACTCATGTGTTATTGAGTCAACCTTTTATGCCTCTTAATGATCAATAACCACTGGTGAAATGTGACCTATTTTCTCAAGTATTTTAATTGAATACAAATTAGAGGTTACTGTAGCTACTTTACATCAGAATTTTATTTTAGTGCCAGTGTAAACTTCTACTCTACTACAATTCAAAAGTATAGTTACTTTACAAATGAAGATGTTTGCCAACAAAACATGAACAGAAGAATGTTTTTTTTTTGTCACAATGACTTTCTCCAACAGTATATACTGTAACAGTCAGCACAACTGTGAGGATTTACTGTTTCCGCTTGCATTATATTTTATAATGCTGAGGTGTGAAATATTGGTTGGACAAAACAAGGAAAAAAGGTGTTATTTAGGGCTCTGGGTAAGAAAAATACTATTTTTAATAGAAATCTTCAGTTGCAGTCCTATTCCAAAATAGTTAGAAATTCTCCCAAACCAACGACAACAGTAAAATTAAGGCATGAGTGCCTGCGTTGCGTTCTATTACTTTAATATGATGTTCTTGATTATACTTGCACACTTTTACTAAAGTAACATTTTCAATGCATTATTTCTGCAGTGTGATGTTGGTACCTTATATATATAATATATATAATATAAGGATCTGAATACTTCTCTCACCACTCAGTTGGTGTCAAACTGCCTCACTTTATAGGCAAGAATGTTTTGAGGAAACGTTTTAAAATGTCACACAAATAGCCATATTGATAAACTTGACGGTGGTCAATGCTCACTGTGACCTAAACACATTTTACTGACATCTATGAAGAGATAAGGGTGGCTTTTATGAGTTATTGTATTTGTTTATAGGATGTAGATTTACTACACTGTGTTAGTCTTTTAACAGTTTAATTACTTTAGTCACCTGTCCCTTGACAAGCCTCTTGCTTAACCCATTGAAGAATAAACAGCGTCTGACATAAGACAAAGGGGGTGTTTCTCAATCGCGAGTAAAGCTGCTTCAGAGCCACTATTTCAAGCATACTACGTCATCGAGTGCCGCCGAAGTACTGTTCCAATCTCCAGCATGCTTGGAAATCTACCGAGCCCGGCGTACTCCGTTTGTAGAAATATCGAGGCTGCACATGAGTAGACTCCGCGGTCTTAAAATCCCCACAATGCTTTGCGCACGGACCAATTTCCCCAAATCTGTGGCGGAAGATGTAAGAGGCGGGGCCTCTCATATGACGCACACCTGCACACTTGCTAGCCTGTTCCACTCTTAGTTTTCCAAATGCCAGGAAGTATTCTTGACTCGCTTCTGAAGCAAGATGCTTGGAAGACATGTGCTACCAAGCAAGCGTACTCGACATTGAGAAACACCCAGTGTCTCACCCAAACACTGGCCGTTTCTCAATCGCGAGGATATTGGCTTCCAAGCCAATATTTCAAGGATGCTACGTCATCGAGTGCCGCCGAAGGACTGTTCCAATCTCCAGCATACTTGGAATTCCACCGAGGCCGCGTCCTTGGTTTGGGGGAAATGTCGAGGCTGCACATGGGTAGACTTCGCGTCCTTAAAATCCCCACAATGCTTTGCGCATGGACCAATTTCCCCAAATCTGTGGCGGAAGATGTAAGGCGGGGCCTCTCATATGACGCACACTTGCTAGCCTGTTCCACTCTTTGTTTTCCGAATGCCAGGAAGTATTCTTGCCTTGCTTCTGAAGATGCTCGGCTGTGCTACCAAGCCAGCATCCTCGCGATTGAGAAACGGCCACTGACATCTCAGGTGATGCCATAACGATGAACTAAATCATTTTAGTATAGGAAAATGGTGAAAACTGCCAATTATAATTGTGGACACTCTCAAATTTGTCAGACCAATAGCCCAAAACTTAAATATTTGAAGTTCACTATCGTATAAGAAGAGCCTCAAAGATTCCAATTTGAGCAGCTGGTTAAATTTGGCATTTCTTGATGAAAATAAAGTTTATCTTTCAGCACAATTTATCAATTGTTTCTGCTGTAATAGAAAAGATCCAAGCATTATTCAAAACACTAAAGAGAATAATAAACGTTTCAAAGTCAAACCTTGACCTTATAGATATTAAAACCAAATAGTCCTTTCAGAAGTTCTCTGAAACTGTAAGATTGTATTTCACAATTTAGTTAAGAAAGTATTTCCTTTCAGTAATTACTGGATTGCCCAAAATGGCCACAGCTCTGTGTTATGGTAATATGGAGTGATATATTGGAAAATGTATGTATTGGATATAATATGAAATAAACAATATTGCTTGTTGAAGCTTATAAAGTCTTATGAGGGGAGATAAAGGGATTAACTATGCCCAAGTCATAATTATGTTTAACATAAAAATAAAAAAAATCTCAGAGCATCTCAATTTAAATGCAAAAACACTTATTCCACTTGTGTGCTAATGGTATACATGTAAAACTCCTATATATATACACCTACATTGATGTTAAAAAAAATGTGTCTGCAGATTTTCCAAAACAATTGAAAGAGCAATAATGATTCCATTTTTATTGAAAATAGGTACATCAATAAAAGGAAACCATACAAACAAAGGTGAATCTTAACTGTTGATCTCCTCAGAGCCCATGTGACCAGCAGCGCACACACTAATTGGGCATCCTTATTTTTGACTCAATATTACATCTCTCTTTAGAAAGCTTTCATTGGGTCCATGTGAAAATAAGTCCTCCCAGGTGTAAAACATGTAGGCAAAGTATTGAACAGTTATATTTTTATTATCTCAGCCTTTGTTGAATCTTTGGCAACTTTCGGACCTTTTCGCCCTTTGGGTTTCCCACCTTTGGGTTTCCCACTCTGCTTCTGAGACTTCTGCAGCAGAGTCAGAGTGTCTCTCTTCTCAATTCTCCTGAGCTGTTTCTTCTTCATCCTCTTGATCTTTGCTGTGTTCTTGATCTGTGATTAAAAAAAGAAGATACAAAAGTTTAAAAAAAAGGTTAAATATCCAATAGAAAGAATGTGTTTGTTTATGTTTTCCAATAATAACAGCCCATTCACTTATTTAGCTGTTTTATTGCATCAAACTTTGAAGAGTGTTCTATATATATTTATGGAGGCTTAAATGTGTAAAATAGGATATTTAACTTAATTTAAAGTTACAATTCAATGCTTTAATTACAATATTAGGAAGCTTGCAACATAATGCTGGACAGAACAAGCTCTTCAGTTGGTCACTTACTTTTTAATCCACTCTGAACTGGTCATATAAGCTATAGCGAAGCATTATATCGTAAAATAAATAAAGCAATTGTGGGGTTATGACTGTAAGCCCACAATTTAGAATACTTCAGTCTTCATAATATAACAATTCAGTGTTATTCTGTACACAACTTGTGTAAAACAGGCCTGCGTGGTGTTAGGGTGTCATCTTAAATTGTGCGAAGTCTCTTAGAAAGTTTAGTGTGAACAGTTGACATACCACTTCAACAATCTCTGATTTGCGTTCGTTCTCTGCACGACGTTTCAAGTTGTCTTCTCTCCGTTTTCTCTTATCCTATAGAGCCAGGAAATATAGAATACATCAAAAAACTTGCAAAGACCAACATTACAAAGGTTAAATTATTACATGACTTTAACTTACCTCTTTCTGTTTGATTTTCTCGTCTTTAAGCTGCGAAGTGTACTGTTTCACCTGCTCCTTCTCCCGCTTGGCTGCCATCTTCTTTTCCCATGAAGTGCACAATGGTTTATCTCTTAACAGTGCGGAGAACCTAAGAGAGAAAATCACATCTCGTAAAGTAACCCCCGTAAAGTGGAAATGCACTGATCTACAGTTTTAATCCCAACTAGAGTCATTTCTCGTATGTTAAATTAAGCTAAAGAACTGCAACGGCACTAACAGCTGAGTTTAGAGAGTGCTGAATGCAATTAATTAAAAAATATGTTTCATACATTTCTTTGTGTGGAACACTTCCTCCCTCCTCTGTTTTCTTATTTACTCAGTTTAAAAGAATCTCTACGATATCCATTTTCATTCAGGGAAATAAACCAACCTTCATTTGTTACATTTTGTTTGAACCCCAACTGCTTTACAATAACACAATTATTTAAATTATGTGGTCTCATTAAAATAAAATGTCAACACATAACAAATGGGATACTTGCTGCTAAGGAAACAACGTTGTTCATCATGTCCATCTAATTTAAAAGGGATTCATATAAGAGGAAAATCTGTGTAATGGTTACCAGTGCTAGTTGTAAAGTATTCAAACTATTTGTTAGAAAAGAGAAGCTGCGAGAACTACTGCATTACAAGTCATCCATGCAAAAATATACTTACATAAAAAACTATAAAAGTACAATTAAAAGCAGGCTGACAGTCCTTAACGATATATTATTGCATCATTTTATTATTATATAGATATATGAATATGTAAGCGGGACAAGAGTGTAGTTGTTCACATGTTTTATTCACTGTTGGGAAGTTTAAGCTGTAGTGACGCATCATAAACTGATCACACTCACTCACTGTTGTGTATGAACAATCTTAAGTAACTAAAAACAACTTCATCACAGCACTTTATTAATTTCCAGCTACTTAGTTACTTCTACAGTTAGCCACAGTTATAGGGTTATGCTCACCTCTGCTTGTTGCGGTCTTTCCACACCCTCCCAGATGCGGGTTTCCCCAGCGGAATGGCCGGAGTTAGTTTACCACTTGAACCCAAACGAGGCTTCTTCGCCGGGACGGTTTCTGAGCTCCTGGGTGCCGTTTTCTGCCGGTGCAGGCCTAGACAGACAGCTGTCTCCGTTAATAACAGCGGCTCCGGTTGTAACTGCTGCAGCCTCGGTGTGCGGCTCTGCGGGCACGGTACCCAGCTCCGGTTCGGTAGACATAGTGAGCTTGTCCTCGGCCACACTCTCGAGTATCGGCACTGAATCCTCCGTGTCTTTCTCCTCCTCAGCCGGCATCTCGTGTAGGACGGATCTCCTGGTCCTCCGGGTGGGAGTCCTCACCGGGGCCAGGGAGTCCAGCAGCGCGGCAGGAGTACGCACTTTGCGGCCGCTGCGGGTCCGCCTGGTCTCCGGCGGAGGATCCTGGGTCTCCTCCTCACCGAGATCCACTTCACAAACGGAATTTGATTCCAACATAGCTGCCTGTCTCTTCGACATGTTTCTAATCAAGTTGACTTCTCAACATTACTCTCATAAACTTGCTTACCCACGTGTGATCTCCACCAGCGTTGTGTACGTTGCTTTACTTCCGTTTCCAAGGCGGATGACACACAAGCGAAGCGCATTACCGCCACCTGCTGGTCTGGAGTGTGCACTGCACAAACTCTCTTCCACCTACTGTCTTTGTTGATCAAGTTTACACACAAGCTGAAGACCAGCAACAATAATTAAAGGTGGGGTAGGTAAGTTTGAGAAACCGGCTCGAGATACACTTTTTGTTATATTCCATGGAATGCTCTTAACATCCCGATAGCAATGAATATCTTAAGTGCTTTGACAAAAAATCCATAAAAAAATGTCATCTGTGGAAGCTGTAGTACTGTAAAAAGCACGACCAATCATTTTAGCCGGCCTGGCTAAAATAACTGGATGGCCGACCTGCCTGTCAGCTTTCCATCTGTGCACAAATTTATCTCGTGCCCTCATTGGTCATGTGCGCGTTCGTGTGTGTTGGAGGAGGGGCTCTGTAAGGAAGTGGCAGATTTTTTCCGGCTGTGTATTTTCAAATTCTAGCACACTCGAGCTGGTTTCTCCAAAATTACCTACCCCACCTTTAACACTATAGGGCAGGCGAAAAACGTTCACATAAAACAAAAATGGAACAACATCAAATGTTTAAGAGTAAAAGAAATCCGTGTATCTACCGTCCAATTGTTTTTCTTTATTAAACACGTAAACGGAAGAGCGTTTGAGAGGCCTTTTTGCTTTTTACCTTACTAAATGGACTCTATGGTCATTGGAGCGAGGGGCGGGGCGAAACTCACGGAAGTGATTTCAAAACAAAAGCACTCGTGTGCTGGAATGGTGATAATATTATAAACAAAGGGAAACAAGGTGAATTTAGTGATCACAACGAAAACGGCCAAGACACATATTGAGCCCACAAAACTAATGTTATTAAGGGCTGTAAATATAATAAGCCTATGTCTAAAATGGACAACATTGTTAGGAGATTTAAACTATACAGCGATTCTGCACTGCAGTCACCTCAGCCGTCTCTCGCGTTGTTTTTTCAAATCAGCCTGTCCTGCTATATTTGATGATCGATACGAAATATGTGTTACCATAAGTTCTTAATAAAACTGATACTGTTGGACTCGGTACTAGTTTGACTGCTACCAGAAATAAAATGAAGTACATTTACGTTGTACTTTGTGAGTAATCCTCTGTCAGAGTCCCCTCCATAGTAGCCTATGCATGTTTTCCGCTATCTTTGAAGAGTGATACAAATAAAATGTTACCATTAGTTCTTAATGATATTGATACTGTTTGACTTTGTATTAGTAAACCTGCTACTAACAATACATTGAAGTACTTTTACTGTGTATTTTTTTGAGTAATCCTCTGTCAAAGTCCCCTCCATAGTAATAATGCATGTTTTCTGCTATCTTTGATGAGTGATAAAAAGACAATTTTACCATTAGTTCTTAATGATATGGATACTGCTGGACTCAGTAGTCTTACACCTACTACCACAATACAATGAAGTACTTCTAGTGTGTTGTTTAAAAATAAAATCCTCTGTCAATGTCCCCTCCTGAGAACAAAATCAAGCCACTTCTGCTAAGTTTGATGAGGGACAAAAATGATTTTTGCCATTAGTTCTTCGTGAGATTGACATTGTTGGGCTCAGTACTAGTGAAACTACTTCCACAAGTACTATGAAGTACTTTTACTGTGTACTTTTGGATTAATCCTCTGTCAATGTCCCCTCCTAAGTACAAGAATGCATGTTTCTCTGCTATTTTGAATCAGTGTTAAACCACCTTTCTTCATGAGACTTATATTGTTGGACAGAGTATTTTAAGAGGATAGGTAGACATGATATCAGCAATACTTCCAGTCAGTACTCCGGCAGCAGCATGAGCCACGTTCACACCGGAGTACTTTTCACTTCTGCTAAGTTTGATGAGGGACAAAAATGATTTTTGCCATTAGTTCTTCGTGAGATTGACATTGTTGGGCTCAGTACTAGTGAAACTACTTCCACAAGTACTATGAAGTACTTTTACTGTGTACTTTTGGATTAATCCTCTGTCATGTCCCCTCCTAAGTACAAGAATGCATGTTTCTCTGCTATTTTGAATCAGCGTTAAAACACCTTTCTACATGAGACTTATATTGTTGGACAGAGTATTTTAAGAGGATAGGTAGACATGATATCAGCAATACTTCCAGTCAGTACTCCGGCAGCAGCATGAGCCGCGTTCACACCGGAGTACTTTTCACCGTACTTTTCGCGTTTAGTTCCGTTAGTACCCCTTATGGACCCAGGGAATGCTACTGAAGCCAGTTCAGTAGCTTTCACTCGACCTGGGAATCGTGCACAGCCCCACGGCATACCGGCTAAAAATAAAGAAACTCAGGCAGGACTACAAACAAATTAAAGACTATTATAACAAGAGTGGTAACGACCGGAAGACCAGTAAATGGTACGAGCGCTTGGATGCTCTGCTAGGCCACAGACCTTTTATCCCGGACAGCATCGACCTATGGTGTGGGAGGCCGCTCAAACGGCGGATTCAGTGGCCAACGATGACGACCACGACGAAGGTAAAATCAACTACATGCTCTGGGGTTTTAATCTGCACAATAATGGTCTCAGATGTACTTTTATTTGCACAGTAGATCGAGCTAGCCATGATAGGCTGAACAGGCTAACACTGGCCCCGAGCTGGCTAATAACATCTAGCTAGCTAGATATTCTCGGCCGCTATGAAAACGTTTTGACTTGTGAATAACTGTGCAGTGTTTCTGTAATTTGCTTCACTAACTCATGGCACTAATCGTGTGTTTCAGGCGAGGAAAATCAACTCTCGGGATTGGAAACAAGCGAGCTTTGCCTTCAAGATCAAAGCGCTTGCTCGTCTCCCTTACCAGCAACCAAACACAAAGGTACACACACTGTAACTTTGTCTTGAAAGAACGTTACGCATGGAACTGATGTTCACAATCATGTTTATTTCCTTCTTGGTACAATTATGAAACAGCGTGAAAACGTATTCGCCTAAACCGGCATTTACAAATGTTCGCGCCTTTTTACTCTCTCACAAAACATTGTAAACATCCGGGCTAGAGGTCACATGACTTCCGGTAAGAAATCGCTTCCACTTGGAGCATATATCGCCACCTACTGTTGATTTATTAAATGTTTATATTAAATCCTTGTCCTCAGACCAGTGCTTTTGAGGAATTTGAAGATCAGCTTGTTTGCTTCATTTCTTGATTTACTTTCATATATTGACTTGAAATCCATGTCCTTGATGTTGAGTTGTTCCAGTGCAGTTTTCAGAATGAGTCTTTGTCTGTTATAATCCGGGCAGCTAAAAAATACATGATGTATTGTCTCTGGTTGTTGGCAACCATCACAATTGCCATTTGGATGTTTTCCAATCAGATGCAGTGATGAGTTTAATCCAGAGTGACCCAATTTTATCCTGCTGTTAATGCTCTGTTCTCTTCTACTACTCCCCCAAGTGCTTCCCGTTCCTACTTCCCTTTGTATCTGGTATAAATGTCTGCCTCAACAACATTAAACAAAGTTCAAGCATACATGAAGCACTCTTCAAAAATACAAAACAATAAAGAAGGGCACTTTGAGCGGCAGCTACACACACACACACACACACACACACACACACACACACACACACACACACACACACACACACACACACACACACACACACACACACACACACACACACACACACACACACACACACACACACACTAGTATGTTGTAAAACTACATGGCGACTAAAACAGATCTTGTATCTTGCTTATTTTCCCCTCTTAGGAAAGCGGACACGGGATGCGAATTTCTTTGACACCGTCCAAGCGTTGGAGGACCGGCGTGCCGTGGTGAAAGAGTCGATGCACGGGGATCAGATGGTGCTGTTCACCAAAGCCCAGGAAACGGAGGACAAGATGCTCACCAGTTCATTTTATATTATTGTTATTACTGTTATTATATAGTCTTGATACAACTGACACTTTATTTTATATTGATAATGTTAATTTACATGTACAACTTCTATTTTATTTACATTAAAAATGTGAACTTCTATTTACTGTTAAACAGATCCTGTATCTTGCTTATTTCTCCTGACACTTTATCTTTAGTGACCGTAGCATCCTATACATCACATGTAAGCGATTATTCTGATACCATCATGTTTCATCGGTTATAAACTGGCAAAGCTTTATTTGTCATTTATTTATCATCAATGTTGCAACCTTGTGGAGGAATGGCAGGGGCACATACACAAATATGATAATTTATATAATTTTAAATATTATTTGACCTAAAACTAAATGTTTTTATGATTGTCCTCTGAGGAGGACATGGGGATTTGCAAACTTTTAATTCCCCCCCCCATTTTACACAACACAAAATGGAGTCCACTATGGGCCGAAACTAACATGTAGGTTTCCATAGTGTTTATGGCAGACGGATGCAGTGGGTCTCAGGAAGATATATAATAAATAATAAAGGTGGGTTTGCTGCTGAGCATATTTACTGTGTATACAACACACCTGGCACAGTTTATTGTTATTATATTGCCACACTGTACACTATTGTAATGTTGCCTGTCTTGACTGGAAAATAAAAGAGAGAAACAAAAGCACTGTACAAAAGATCATCTTTATTGTCAAAATGTTTACAATATACAATTTACACGCTGTTCAGATGCCTCATAAGGGCTGTGCGCGTGTCTTGCCCCCCAGCCTCGGCAATGGCTGGCCCATCAAGCTGGGTCGCCGGTAAGGCAGTCCATTCGTCCCTGTACTCATCATTACTTTCACAAAGGTTATGTAATATGCAACATGCTGCCACCTGGATTTTGATCTTGTCCATCTTGCAGTCGTTTCTTTTCATCAAGCACCGCCACCTGCCCTTCAGTCTGCCAAAAGCGTTCTCCACCACCACTCGTGCTCGGCTTGTTTTGTTATTGTACGCAAGTTGCTCAGGCTGCATTAACTCAGTTACAAAGCTGTATAACATGAGCACAAACAGCACAACTTCAGTCGACTCCATCTCCATCATGTCTGAGGTCGGAAGGTAAACAACAGACGCCTAATGTACAGCGAGTGGGTGGGCGTCGCAGTATACGCGGGAAGTTTTTCTTCTTCTCTTGTTTTGTAGCGGATTGCAAACAACTTTAAGGTGCATACCGCCACCTACTGTACTCGCCGTGAAGTGGTTTGTGGCCTGCCAGTAAAGCCAAAGCAGAAGAAGAAGAAGTGACGTCAGCGGCTCATTTGCGTAATCTTCCCTCAGGGAAAAGTACTCCGGTGTGAACGCGATCTGTACTAAGTGCCCTGGGGTAAAAAGCGCCGGGGCTCTTAGTGCCGGAACTAAGTACAGGAAAGTACTTGGTGTGAACGCGGCTATTTTTACACCTTGGAAAGTCTTTAGAGACTGGCCTTCAGCAAAGTGACAAACCCTTGTGACTCTTGTTGGCCTCTTATGACAATGCTGTCTTTTAAATAGGACTATTTCTCTACTCCTAGTTCGTTCCTCTCAGATTCTTCCATCAGTCCCAGTCATTGCATGTCAGTCAATAGAGATTGGAAAAATGTGTCCAATTCAACAAAATGTTTTTTTGTGAGTGAAGGCCAGAGCTAAATTATAGATTGTTTGATTGTGAGAGAAAAAAATTCCACATCCTCCTATGAAACGTATTTTATTTCCCTTTCCATGTTGTACTTATACTTACTTGTATTACAACATTTGCATGTTGAACTGCTGGATATCTTCCCCAGCCTCAAGGAAATACAATAAAATAAATGGATTCATAATGAAAAGAATATTGATAAAAATGTACAAATTAATAATGTTGTGTGCAAACATTTCAAATTTAAATATAAAATGAAAAAGAAGTTTACTTTTGAAATTATTTCTCACAAAAACCTTTCTAAATTATAGTAAATTGTAAAAAAAGGTTTTAGTCAATATACGTTTTTCTGCCTAAAATAGTTGAAATTGAACATTACGTAAACTATATCAAACACCACATGCATGGCAATTAACCCATTTTTGCCCGCTATTTAAATTGACTTTGGTTGAAGTTAACAATATTGATATTATATAGATATATAGATATATAACATATCATTGATGCAGTCTTTCTGAACACTTTTAAAATAAAATACTGCAAATGAAGAATATTTTTAATGTTCTGCACAGATAGTGCCTTAACTTGAATTTGAAAACACGTGGCAACTTTATTAATACAGCAGATGGAAAGATTTGTGGAAGGATAAATTCTTCATGGGCTTCAATGGCTCTGGTGTTTTATGGTTGCTTGTATAATCCTCAGATAGTGGTTTGTTTAAATAACTAGTGACATTTGAATAAATATAAAAATAAATATTGCAAAAAAGGGCTCCAAAAAAGGCACATATATAACCTGGCCGGCTTAGCCAGTGTGTATTTCTTCAAGCACCACAAGATTCAGAGTTTATAAAGTACAATTCTGGGCCATTGATTGTGTCATTTCTCCAAACACATACAGTAAAAATGCCTGTTTTGAAGCCTTAAAATGGTGCAGGAAAAGGACTTTACATTGTATTATACTTAAAGACAGGGCTATTCAGTTAAGAGAAGAGAAAAAAGGAAAGCAAATTGTTATAATGGGTGATGTAACATTAATGACATACATAATATGAGGTCCTTGGCACTCAGACTCTAGAGGGGTCATTTTGTGATCATGGGGCATCACCCTTGTACAGCATCAGGACAATATCATATGGAGTCAGACACTGGAAGTGTGCTGGAGGCTGATGCGTTGACTGCAGGGGAGTGATGGAAGGATGAGGCTGATGAGACTGAAGAATATGTGAGGAACGAACTAGCAGCTGAGAAATAATCATATATTAAAAGACAGCAGCTTCATAAGAGGCCAACTAGAGTGACAGAGTGTGTCAGTGTGCTGAAGGATAGACCAGCTATCCAGGCCAGTCTCTAAAGACTTTCCAAGGTGTAAAATGCTGCTGCCGGAGTACTGACTGGAAGTATTGCTGATATCATGTCCACCATATCCTCTTAAAATACTCTGTCCAACAATATAAGTCTCATGAAGAAAGGTTTTTTAACGCTTATTCAAAAAATAGCAGAGAAACATGCATTCTTGTTCTTAGGAGGGGACATTGACAGAGGAGTACTGGAAAAGTACACAGTAAGTACTTCAATGTATTGTTAGTAGTAGGCTAACTAATACAAAGTCAAACAGTATCAATTTCATTAAGAACTAATGGTAAAATTATATTTGTATCATTCATCAAAGATAGCAAAAAAACATGCATTATGGAGGGGACTTTGACAGAGGATTACTCACAAAGTACACAGTAAAAGTACTTCATTTTATTTCTGGTAGAAGTCAAACTAGTACCGAGTCCAAGAGTGTCAGTTTCCTTAAGAACTTGTGGTAAAAAATATTTGTATCACTCGTCAAATATAGCAGGAATAATGAAGAGCAGCTGATTTGAAAAAACAAACTCAAGAGGCGGCTGAGTGACCGCAGTGCAGAATCGCTGTATAGTTTAAATCTCCTAACAATGTTGTCCATTTTAGACATAGGCTTATTATATTTACAGCCCTTAATAACATCCATTTTCTGGGCTCAATATGTGTCTTGGCCGTTTTCGTTGTGATCGCTAAATTCCCCTTGTTTATAATAATCACCGTTCCTTCAGCAGGATACTATTGGAGTAAAGTGTGATTTGAGCACACGAGTGCTTTTGTTTTGAAATCACTTCCGTGAGTTTCGCCCCGCCCCTCGCTCCAATGACCATTAGACCATTTAGTAAGGTAAAAAGCAAAAAGCAAAAAGGCCTCTCAGACGCTCTTCCGTTTACGTGTTTAATAAAGAAAAACAATTGGACGGTAGATACACAGATTACAAAAAATCCATAAAAAAATGTCATCTGTGGAAGCCGTAGTACTGTAAAAAGTACGACCAATCATTTTAGCCGGCCCGGCTAAAATAACTGGATGGCCTACCTGCCTGTCAGCCTTCCATCTGTGCACAAACTTATCTCGTGCCTTCATTGGTCATGTGCGCGTTCGTGCGCGTTCGTGTGTGTTGGAGGAGGGGCTCTCCGGTTGTGTATTTTCAAATTCTAGCGATCTCGAGCCCGTTTCTCAAACTTACCTACCCTACCTTTAATACAATTAATAATTAATAACATTTTCTTAATCCTATTTAATCTGTAGCTTTGACATACATAAAGAGTCACTTAAAGAAGTTGGGTAATTTGCTCAATAAGGGAACTAAAAGGACTATCAGAAGGAAATAATAATCATTACAAAAAAAAGTGTATTCATATATTTAATATAATTATTAATCATATAAATAAGTATAAGTAATTAAACCAAGTTGCCTCTCTCGGGGAACCAAAAATCCACCACATGACTTTTATATTCAGATGACCCACACCATGTTTATTACATTTTCCATATCACATACAAGTTTAAACAAACACGTTGGAATTGTCCCATTTCGTCCATGAAAGATGGATATCATAAGAAACTTCTCACTAACTATTTTGTTTATACATACAGATACGTTACACGGCATGCCGCATGTAGTGAATATGGCAAAACAAAATTCCCTAATATTTATTTTTTCATTATTACCATAAGTAATAAGGCACAGTTTATTTAAGTCTTACAATTGTAATAATGCAACATAATATTTTTCCAGGAGCTATTTATTTTGTTAAGATACCCTGTGTATTGATTAATGGGCTAATAAGAAGAAATAACATTATGATTTAAAACTGTACATTTTCCAATGTATCAATCAGGCTGTTAAAAAAATTCCCAGATCATCACTCAATGATCACATGCAGTAGTTTCCTTCCACCATTTTTAAAACATGCAGATTTTCCCTTCCCTACTTTTGTCAATATGATGCTGAATTTGGCCAGCAGCTCAGGAAGGTATACCTTCTGATATTCAAATAGCCACGCTATTTTCTACCTTCTCTGGATCCATGTATGTGTATGGGACCTCCAGGCTCATGTTTCTAATATGGATGTGTGCACTCAATGTGTCAAGCTCTCCTTTAAAGGCTCCTTTAATCAGCTCGCAGGGGGTCGTCTCATCAAATTTGGCATCAGGGTAGTGGCCAAGATGTACCTGATGGCATCAAACAATGATACATAAAACATCAATGTTCCTGCTCAAATTTAGATGTATATCAAACATAAAACAACATTTGGCTATATAATATATATATATATATATATATATAATATAATGCTAATAATATTAATTGATTTGATACAGCATCTGAACATCTTAAGGTGATATGTGATGTATTTCACAGGAAGTTTTGGGCACTTACGGTGTCAATGCCCAAGTGGCTGAGTAGCCACAAGGTGGACATTGTGTTAGCTGTCTGACCCTTGTTAGGCAATGTCTGCAGCATCGTTTCCTTAGTTGTTGTCCCCTTTCTGGTTGGTGGAGGAAGTTGCATTGTGGAGGGAGCGTTGGGCATCCAGCCACCATAGTCATACTGCAATGAATTCATATTTGTTTGCCTTTACATTTCGAACAAAACATGTGCAGACATTAATGGTCCAGAGAGGATGAGGAGAGGAGAGGACAGAGTTTTCTGTAGTGCCTCCTTGACATTCAATGTTTTTCTAAAGAAATATCTTCACTATTAAGAAAGACCAGCCAGCAGTCCACACTCCTCATTTTCTTTTGGTATGATTGGGACATGAACCTGTGACCCTTCGGTTCCCAGGCCAAGTCCCTAGAGATTGAGCCAATGCTGCTCTTATTATATAGTATATTACATAGTATATTATATATCCCTCAGCCCCGTGTCCTGGATTTTTAGCGTCAGCTATTTCTGCTACTACATCCACAAACTCACAGTACCTGCCCGTTTGCATTAAAACCTTTTTCAAATGTTATGGCAAATATGGTATTAAAGCTTAATATAGTGTAATCCTAATGTAATGTAACAGCTGATGCCTGAAAATGGCAAATCATCATGTGTGTGATAACAGATGTCTTTGCAATGGGGTTTTATGACACTACAGGAAGAGAGGAAGGAATTTACGATAAGAGGTTATCTAGATCCCATTTGTTCTTGAACTTCCCTGCTGAACTGCACTGAGGAAGGGCTACTGCTAGTGAAAAATGTTGGATTGATGAGTAACTCCAGTGTATACTCTTCCCCTTTTGTGGCATGGCTAGTGGCCCTTTTCTGTAGATGTGACTGGCTGGAGCGTTTCAAGACAACTCCGCGGGATGCAGCGAGCGCTGGTTGTGCCTTTCTTTGTGGGTTTTTTCTTCCTTTTAAACTGTATCCTCTCCCATCCATCCTGTCACTGAGGGGAGCAGCATTGCTCACATTGTCAATTTTTTGAGGGTGGTTGGGATTCAGTTTGTTTGTGCTATTAAGTTATAAAAAGCACAAATAGAATTAATAAATAAATTCAGTAAACACAATTTGCTTTTTTCTTTTAAATTATTTTGAATTGCCCATATATGTACCCTCAGTGGCCACTTTGTTAGGTATCGTGTACAATCCAATATAACAGCTCTCGCATATATTGGGACTTTCCCTTGTTGTGCTTGTTACAACATGTTTAGTAAAAATGTATTTTAGTACAAAATCAGACTACCACTGCATTAATAACAAAGTGGCCACTTTGTGTTAATCTAAACTATGTACAAACTAGACGTGCTCGACAGTAGAAAATAGACTGGTCAAATGCACAGGAGAAATGCAAAAAAGTAGTCTTGCTCGCTTTCTAATATCAAAATGAACCACTTATTGCTTGAATGTAAAGGTACTCTGCACTTATCGTTGAGCTGCTCAAGACATTTAACAAAGTAAGTTACTTGGTTGTTTGGAAATGTTTTATGTAGAGTGCGAAAAATGTATTTGGAAGCCAGTATTGGCTTGTTTGAGGTGTGAGTTTTAGCATACAGTACTGTGCCAGAAGGCAAACACCTGGTCTCACATGATGTTTGTGAGGTCATTTGGGTTTGAATGTTTTCCTATAAAAATGGCTGTAACAGAACAGAACAGGGCACTCTCTTTTGGAGGTGTCATGCTTGCAAGCATTAAAACGAAGATCTCAAAATACTTTATATCGATATTGTGTTCCTTTGCATATTTGCCTAACTCATCTAATACTCTAAGACCGCAGCTGATTTTAAGTTGCCACGACACAAGTAATACAACTCCTGTTTCTGTTCTCATTGTTTTGCATTGTGGGTTCAATCCAGTTGCTCTTGTGAGTTTAACAGCATGTTATAGTTTGTTGGTTTTGGCTTAAAGCCTCACTGTGTCTATCTACAGCCTTGCTGACTTGCTAACATAGCTTTCAAATATTATTTATTTCAAAGACTTGCTTACAATCCTCTAAGTCTAATGTAATGTGTTTTAACATAATTCATCCATCGTTCTCCAGAACAGAAACATACTAATAAAACCTTATTTACCCATTCCACACAAATACATAATAATTGTGGTATATTAGGAGGCTTTACCTGTCCAGTGTTCACGGCTGAGTGCTGTCCTGAGCAGGTGAAGATCACCATGGTGACAAACTTCACCAACTCTGCCACGGTGTTGAATCTCTGTGGGATCCCTGAGAACCAGAGGGAAGTAAATGCTTTACTAAGATGCCTTTTTTTAAATAATCATATTACAATGGTACATAACTGTGCACAGTTATTATCTAAAACATTTAGCTTTTCTTTAGCCCACCTGTTGATGATCGGGAAAGAAATCCATATTTGAAGATTTCTGAAATCCAATCCTGCAGATGTTTGTCCTTCTCAACCTCAGCATCACTCTTGTAGTGGAAGCTGAGCATTCCCTGCACAAACCTGAAATGTAAAACACATTTCTAGCTGGTGTATTATACACACTGCACTAGTATTACTCTTTGTAGGGACATAATTGAATGGGCAATCCCTTTAGAAGAATCAGGTCTGTGCTTTTGAAGATTTTGGTGAAATATTTGACAAAGAGGAGAGAAGGAAAGACAGAGTGTTGGACGTGAGATATGTCAACAGAAGAAGACAGACAGGCGGTAAACACTAACATGAACACGGTATGGGTTTCTCTGGTGTTGTTTAAGGACTTGTTAGTTGAAAACAAACTATGAACAGACTTGGACAGTAACAGAAAACATTGATCTGTGCTGCCGTTCATTTAAAATTAAGTTGTTTTTGTTGCAGTTCCAGCCATTGGTACGCCGTGGAACAGAGTTTTTTTTAAGGGATAATGTACAGCAAGGCTTTTTCAATATCTTTACTTTTCAATATTGAAAAATGTACATTATCCCTTACCTAATCATTAGTTTGAGAATTGGTTGTATAGGTTTATGTTTGACATTTTAAGAAATCTTAAAGTCTTTGTAGCCAGACCTCATGAAACAAAATATGGAGCACACTTCTGCAGATGAGGATTGGAACACAATAAACTCTAATTCTGCATTTGTATTTTCAAGTTGCTTTACTGCAGGACTAGTGCTCTTTGCTGGGGCAATAACTGCATTCAAACAGATCCATAGCCTTTGTGCGTGCCAGCGGATCTATCCTTTATTCATTGACATGAGTCTTTATCGCATGGCAACATACAGTATACATTATTTGCATCCCTAGCACATAATTATTATTGCAGAATAGAAACTGCCTACACTATGATACCTTTGGATGATATCCCAGAGCTTGAGTCCATCATCCCTGTAGTAGAAGTTGGGCACAGCCTCCAGGCCACGCTCAGTGATGTCCTCTGGTATGCAGAGGGAGCTGTAGGTCAATGAGGACAGTGATCGCTTCAGGATGGTCTTCAAAGCCTCTCCACCAGAAGATACAAACTAGGAAACAGTCAATATTTTTGGGATATAGTTAGAGACAAATACTGTACATGATATTAAAAAAGTTGGTCTTTCCGTACCTTTGAGAAAGATCCGTTCTCAGATATGATGTTTTTTCGAGCTAGGAAGTTGATTTGCAGAGTGTAACGAGTGTGAGGTACGAGCAGCTGGAAGGAGGGAACTCTGTTAGTAACACTATTAAATGCTAACAAAGAAAGCAAGTTGAAAAAATACAGCTACAGTTAATCAAGCATTCTTCTTCCAGGTACCTTATGCAGTAGATGTTCCCTGTTCACATTGCGCATCAGTGACACTGTGAAGACTTCAGCCAGCAGATGTGTGCGCAGCAGGTGAAAATTCAGTTGATGCAGGTTGAAATCTGCACTTCTCACGAAAATCTTGGCCATCAACCAGTCGTACTTAGAATCAGTAGGCAGGAAGATGGGATTGTTTCCTGCTGGAGTCTGCTTCAGCTGCAGGAGAAGGAAGGGTGATGTGGTTCCTTCAATCCATTGATCCATTTTCTGTAATTTTTGTTTCTTCTGCTATTTACTATAACTTTTCTCTGCTTTTCAATCAATCTGTTAATCGCTTACATATGGAAGTTAGCAGTTCGTGGACTGTGACTTAATTCACTGCTTAGGTAATCAATACTCCTATATCTTTACATAGAAAGTAGTTTCATAGCAACTATTTGCTATGTTGCTCAGGAGGAAGTGCGCCATCTACCAATGGTCAGGTCAATGGTTTCAATAGTGTCGTCGGACAAGAAGCTGATCCCTAGATTGCTCCCGATAGAATGGCCAATTGGGGTGTATATTAGTCTCCCCTAATTAGTGTGTGAATGGATCAATGCTGACATGAGAGTAAAGCGCTTTGATTGGTTCCAAAGACTGGAAAAGCGCTATACATATATATAGATGTACTGCATTTATATAGAACCTTTAAGGGAAATATACATTTTCATTGAAGCCCCTGTCAGACCAAAGGGTTGACTTTAGAGCAGCAGCCCCACGTTCCTTTGTCTTTTATACATCAATGCTTTTGTGTCTTGTACAAAAAGTTGATCTGACTCAGAGCCAGGCAGGAATAAATAAACGTATAGGCCGACTTCTTCTGCAGTTTGAATAATAGTTGAATCAATGATAGTTAATCAATGCATAGATATTTTATGTTAGCTACTTGAGTGCAAATCTCACCTGAATACCAACTGGCATCAGCTCATCATCAGGTGTTTTGTGGAGGAGGACGAGGGGAGCCGTCAAGTACTGCTGCTTCCCATCAATGATGTTTGGTTTCAGTCCATCCAGAAGCTTGTAGTCACACAGGAATATGTTGCCTTTCTGTTTTAGAGAGGATGTGTAACAATTAGAATCACATCAACACAGTATATATTACTAGGGGTGGGAATCACCAGGCTCCCCACGATACGATACTATCGCGATACTTAAGCCACGATATGATAGTATTGCGATTCTACGATAATGCTAAGTATTGCGATACGATATATTGCGATATTGCAAATCACATGGGTCATATCCATGTCCGTCTTCCCTTCCTGGTTAAAAAATTGATTTGCATATGAATAGTTTATGTAAATAACCCAATTTGTGTTATTTGAACCTGAAAAGGAGCTGGCATTGTGTTTGTTACTTTCATTGAAATTGTATTCATGTCTTAACGTAACTTCCTGTTTTATATAGACATGCTTTTATTTTGAAGGCGACGTTACTGTTCCCAAAGCAAAAACTTGACGGAGAAAAAGAACGGAGATTAAGTACAGATATTAACCGCGATATCAAAAGATAAAGTTTACATTTAAGTATTAGCAAGAGGCACAAGGTTAGTGTTAACTGTAATATAAACATTTGATTTGTGTCTTAATTTGTTTATATACTGTATTATAACTTTGCTAACTATTTGAAGTTCACTTGTTTAATGGTATTCTAAAGTAATACTCATATGGATGTAGCTCAAATGTATTTGTTGTTTTATTTATTTCTGTAGCTCTTACGTTGGTTTTTGGAGTTTTCAATCAATTATAAATCATCAGTCAAGTGTACGACCATCTTTCAGAGGGATATGCTACAGTTTATATATTAAAAAAAGATATATATATATAATAACATATCGATAATTGGCATCCGTGTATCGATACAATATCGCCACGCAAAGTATCGCAATACTATGCTGTATCGATTATTTCCCCCACCCCTATATATTACACATACTAAATGAACATGTAATTGTGACAGACAATTCTTAATTGAACATGTCATTGGGCAAAACAAGTTTCTACTACTGAGAGTATAAAGACATTCACCTTAATTTCCTCTGCCAAGGTATACGGACCTCTGGGGAAGACCATCTCATCAGTGACAGGAAAGTTGTTGGGCAGAGCTGAACAACGTCGGATCAACATGGGGTTGACACCATTTAGGTACTGGTAGCCAAAGAAAGCATCCTCTTTCCAATGTTGCTGGACATAGCCTGGACAAAAGAGCTGCACTTAGTTGAGTTTATGATTTTCTTTTATAAAATCTTTATCTTAAACAACTGTCTTTTGTGGGGTCTCTCAAGGTTCTGTTCTCGGTTCCACCTGATTTAATATTTTTGGTTACAAAATCAATTAATAATGTGAGATTCTATGATAGTACACCTGATAAGTTGTTCTTGGTGTTTAATATTCCCCTGATATCATCAAGACCAGTCCAGTTATCTTTGGAATCAGCAAGTTCTTTCAGGTTCAGCTCAATCAGCCTAGAAAAAAAACCTTTATTACAATGGTAGGTAGGTAGGTAGGTAGGTAGGTAGGTAGGTAGGTAGGTAGGTAGGTAGGTAGGTAGGTAGGTAGGTAGGTAGGTAGGTAGGTAGGTAGGTAGGTAGGTAGGTAGGTAGGTAGGTAGGTAGGTAGGTAGGTAGGTAGGTAGGTAGGTAGGTAGGTCGGTCGGTCGGTCGGTAGGTCGTGTTTTAAAGGCTTCACCCAGTGATGACATTGGAGAGAAACTCCCAATTCTCGCTCCAGGAGAACTGAACCTCCAAAGGCAGAGAAGAAAGCGTTTCTGCCTTCATGCAATGGGGCATTCCTTTTCCATACAAATGCCAGCTGTGATAAATAGAAAAAGGTGGTGAGGCTGCGCTGTTAAAACTACCACTCTAATGCTTAACAATGGAGAAACTGCACCTACAAGTAGGCTATTTTATTTGTAATCATAAACCCTGGTGCAACAATGTCACGCTTTGATTAATTTGTCATTACATATAATGAATATATTTACCCAAATGTGGAGGAGGTTTGGATACATGTTATCTTTGGAATAAATACAATTAAAATGTGAATACGCTCTGAGCTCTTACAGATAGTATTTCTTTCGCCAATCCGGGTCAACCCAGTCCCAAAGGCTTCTTGCCATAATACACGTTTTTATAGGCGGCGTAATCGGAGCTTAAAAAAAGAATCAAAAAAAGATTTAACATACAGAATTGTCTCTGGACTCCTTATAGACCAGCTTGAAAAACTTCTGGAAAGTGAACATCGTACAGTACAACAACCATTTCACAAACCTTTTTCCTCATTGAAGAATTGTACATCACTGGTAGTGATGGAGCGTAAAATGGGAAACTTGTAGGTGCCTCCCTCAGGAGATTTGACTACCACCTTGACAGGGAACCAATCATCTTGTATTTCTGGTGGCTGTTTGTCTAGCTCTATCCCATGCAGCTCTCCAATGGAGACAGGGCAGGAAACAGTGAAAGAAGACACCTGGTGTAATGACAGAAATTGTTTGGAATCATTGATACAAGAGATAAAGTGTATTTGATAACCAATAAGCTTAGACATCCAAATGATTATCACAAAATGACTGAATGTATAAGTTTTGAGAAAATAATAAAAATGTGCGCAATACAGAAGATATGTTCACTGTCTTTGCTTCCTCTTCCCAGAGAGCAACTAGATGTCAAGGCTGCAGAGTGTTCCTTGTGTGAACACTTACCTGTGCTATCTTTATTTCAATCTTATTCATGTTGCTTAATAAACACCTGAATTACCCTACAGGGATAATTAAAGGTTTATATTATTTTAGTTTCTGTAAGTAATTAGTTTGTGTGTTATCTCTTGTTCAGTTTGAGGAAGCATGTTAAAGCCTTCGTTTAAATATAGAAAGGCATATTTAAGACTTACAGCTCCTAGGATGAAAGATGAATCTCCTTCAAGCCAGGTGCGTTCACTCTGTCCATTTTGTCCCCACAGCTTAATGTGGACCTTGTTTGAAGTGCCGGCATCATCGAGGCAGGCAGTGGATACTGTCACTTTATAGTGCACCATTTTCACTCTGAAAAGCAGAAGAATCCTGGTTGTGAGAGAACTATAATAACCATTCAGTATACGAGTAACTGTGATTACATCGACCTCAGTGCAAAGAAACCCTTCAAATTCATATCATAATTAAAAGGACTTAAGCAAAAAGTATTATACAACGAATATAAAATGTCCCACTGAATGTGTTACTGTCCAGTCATTGCTTAACTGATCAATAATCGTAAATAAATCATAAAGCATCTCTCTTCCCTTTTAATGAGAGCGGGAAGTTTCTCTAAAGAAAGGCTCTTTCAATAAAAGTAATCCCCACTGATTTTGCTATTTATACAAGCTATTTTGTGGGAGTATCCAGCAAGAAGTAGTAGAATAAAGTTATAGTGATGTACAGTCAGACATGTAGGACATTGACCCGAAGGTTGTTCAAACGAATTCCTAATAATCATTGAGAAATTTGTTTGCATATTAAAACAGGCCAAAACAATATGAACTATGGAACCATTAGTTAGTTCTGAAGGCCTTTTCCATTCTTCTATCCATATTCAACCCCTTATCCTGGGTCAGGTTGCAGAGTAAGCGGTTCCAGCAGAGGGCCCCAAACTTCCCATCCCCTGGCCTCATTAACTAGCTCTATATAGTGTGGAGACACTGTATAATCCCTCCACCTGGTCCTGGGTCTGCCCCTCTGAATCCTTGCAACTGTATGTCTGCAGACTGTATGCTCTCTGTATGACTGACTGCACTTTCTTGCGAGATTAATATGAATTGAATTGGTCAATGATTTTCAGGAACTCTGGCAGTTTCCAGAGTGTCCATTGAAAGTAAGGGTAGATTACGGGAAGGTATTCCACAACACTGATATCATGCGAGGCTGCATTACACAATGACGTGTCCTACTCTTACTCCATGGAGGAGCCTGTCATCCCATCCTATGGTGTCTAATACCAGTAATGTTTTCCCCACACAACACACAAATGTTGCGTCTCCCCATCAAGAGAGAGCAATAGATAATCATGACCCACTCACTAACATCACCCTTACTGATGTGACTGATAACCTCTGGTAACGAACTATGATCCGTGGTGTTTTTTGACAATCCAGACACACCTATTCTGATTCCAAAATATCCTGATCAACTCAACTGACTCCTGACTATGACTATGGAGCTGACCGGTGTGCTCTGACATATTTTTTCTTTTTCTTTTTTGTGACTCAGATAATTGTGCTGTCGACGTAATGCTTGATAAAAAGATGACTATGATTTTTGACTTAGATAATTCAGTTACTTACATCTCTTTGGCAAACACAGAAGTATGTCAGTGGTAAGACGAGGCTTGTATGTTGTGTGCTGTCAGTGTTCTCTTTATGCAACCTGGCATGATATCAGTTTGGTTGAAGTGTTATGCAATATGTTAAAAACCTTTTCTGGACAGTCAAAGTTATTTTGTCTGAGTGAAACATCCCTTTTAGTCAGCTGAGCTGAACAGTTATATCTCTCACAGGCTCCGCCCTCTACTGGACTCTATGGGTACTACCTTATCCCGCGTGCATTCTCCCACTGAGACTTCTATAGACGTAGCCGGCCCAGGGCAGGCCTACCTGAATGCGCGCGCATCACACCGTATAAAAGGAGGACTCGCCTCCTGACTGCTATCCTTTTTCTCTTCAGCTAAGCGGAAGTGATTCCACAGAAGACGTAAGACGTATTGAAGTGAAAGTAATAGAGAGAGAGTATGGCTGGACCATAGGACCTGCCCGAATTGTCCGAACCTGATTTCAGGAGTCGATCCGCACTCCCTCTGCTTCACGTGTTTGGGGCCCGACCACGCGATGAACGGTATGGGCTCGACGCCGGCGTGCTCGGCCTGCCAGGCGATCCCGCGGCGCACGAGGAGCATCGTGGGCAGCACTTCCTGGAGAAGATTGCCCCGCAGGAGGAGTCGGAGGAGCTGGATCTCGACGTCGTGGACATGGGCGATTCGGGAAGCGAGGGGACATCGTTCCGGTTCTCCCTGCCGTGGGGCCAGGCGGCCCCGGTTCCGATGATCGACGACGAGGACGCCTCGCTATCCGGAGGTCCAACTCTCAGCTCTGCGCGGATGGATTTCCCAGCGGTGATGACTCTGGCGGCGGAGCGTGTAGGTTTACCGCTCCCCCCACCGCTGCCACCGAGGCCTGTAAACCGCCTGAGATCGGGGGTTTATGGCCCGGTGCATCCGGCGCAGCCGACCTTCGTTTCGCCCCAGCTGCCAGAGGTATGGCGGTGTGTGGAGGCGACATGGCAGCAGCCTTTTAAAACGAAGGCCTCGATAATCTTGGCGTGTTGGCGTCTTCCTGATCACCCTCAGGCAGACGCCCCTGCCCTCCCGTCTCAGGACGAGAGCGATTATTCGGACCACGCTGTTAGTCAGATGAGTAATCTGATTTATGGCGTGGCCACCGCAGCAGGGCGGATGATTTCCCTGGCCACAGTGGCGTCTCGTCACGTGTGGCCAGGGCTCACGGCCCTATCTAATGCCGCAGTTCCACTACAGCGCGGAGCTCGCTTTAAGCGTGCCGTGTCGTGCCGTACCCGTTTTTGGTTGCGCTTCCACTAGGCCTAGTTACGGCCCGGCCCGGCCCGGCGCCACTTTTTCACCTCTTTTCTGGCCCGACAAAATTGTGGTTCTATCGGGGCCAACAAACAGGGCTGAGTCGGGCTGAGTATGCTAAACTAGAGAGAGGAGCGCTGGCAAGAGGGCTAGAACTACAACAAGATGGACATATTTGACCGTGATTTAATTGTAATACACGTTTCAAAATGATGCCGAAGTAACAACATACTGATACCGGTTAGTAAAAACCATGAATTAATGCTTTGTCAAGTCTGCAGACAGACGGCAGGCAAAAAACCTTTTAAATGCGTGTTTTTCTAGATGGAGATTGGCTAAGCTAACGCAGTATATGCTCTGACCGTCCACACTCACAACAACGGCCTATACAGACATAAATAAAGCAGCGACTGTATTCACCATGACACAGGCAGTCTGTGGTTTGTACTTGTTTAACTTTTGTCGAGTTTCTGAACATATATAAGGAGCTGTGAGCTCTGAGTGCTAACAGCTAACGGCTGTGTTGTGTTTCTGGAGTTCTCATTGAAGATGACGTCACGGCTCCGCCTACACTGCGTTACTATAGTAACTACCCCAGTTCCTAAACTGTAATGGAAGCGCAGCATGAAGTGAGTCGGCCCTGTTAAGGCCCAACGCGGCCAAGCCGTACCGAGTGTGGCCGAGGCCGACCGTGTAGTGGAAATGCGCCATAAAGGAGTCCAGCTTAGCCGCATGCTATCGCTGGCTCCTCATCAGGCTCCGCTACGTGCCCCCCTCGCATGCCATGCAGAGGAGGGAGCGTAGTACGACAGTGAAGCGGAGGGAGAGGCGCCGGCACGGGGGTCCCGTAGCTGCAGCGCCCTCCACCTCTACGGCCCACCCCGTGGCACCGGCATACCGGCAATCACGGGGAGGGGCTGCCCAACCGAGGCAGGCTCCGCAACAGCAGAGCACCCGGGTGGGGAACTCTATCTTCGCGGAGTTATCTGTCTATTTAATGCCCAGATCCCCGTTAAAACCTTTAAAAAATAAAGATGGTGTTGATCTGTATCCAAGTCTGAGTGTCCTTTGTTTCCACAATACACTTGCACATGTTGATGACTGTACAAATTCCCCATTCGCCGCCCCAGCTATAGCTCCCGTTAGGGCAACCCTGTCTCCTAGAAATTACGTTCCCACAAAACTAAACTGCATTCTCAAATACGTTTTGCAAGAAACGTATTTCCTTCCACGTTACGTTTGTTATGAACATATCTTAAATACGTTTATTTTCTACATATCTTCTAGAAACCTATTTTCTCTCACATGACGTTTGTTATGAACGTATCTTAAATACGTTTGCTTTCTACCTATATTTGCCATTTCTTTTCTAGCTTATAATAATGATAATAGTCATTTATTAATATCATTTTAGAGCAAACTTATTTTCGCGCTGGCTGGCGGCTGACTTTTCAGTTGACCAAATCCGTTATTATGCTGGTTAATGGTTAATAATCACAATATTGTTTGTAGTCGTTTCATACAGCATTCTCAATTACGTTTAATTTTGTCCCACGTTACGTTTGTTCTGAACATATCTTAAATACGTTTGCTTTCTACCTATCTTTGACATTTCTTTTCTAGCTTATAATAATGATAATAGTAATTTATTAATATCATTTTAGAGCACACATTTGAAATCGACGATCGGGCTTGATATCCTATGGTTAAATTAAAATCAGTAGGCGAGGCTGTAATTTCGCCAGCTGCGAGGCAGAGTTTTAACATGCCAAAAAGCTGCTGTGTCGTTTATTGCACCTCAAACACCTCAAACTTCCTCTAAGGACAGCAGAAGAGCTCTGTGGCTTCAGGCTTGATCGCCGTTCAAATGACATCGCCGATAATAAATTATCATTACACCTGGGTAAAACAGAGTCCATTCTCTTCGGTTCGAAACATAATCTCAGCAAATCCGACGACTTCTCAGTTGCAGTGGGTGACATTATTGTCACAAGTAAGAAGGAAATTACATACCTAGGATCTATTCTTGAGGCAAACCTCTCCTGTGACAAAATGGCATCCAATGTAATAAAAAAAGTCAATCAAAGAACTAGATTCCTATACCGGATCTCCTCTCTGGTAAACAAAAACACCCTGAAAACTCTGGCAGGAGCACTCATTCAAGGGTACTATGACTATGCTTGCACGTCATGGTACCATAGCACCTCCAAGGCGCTAAAAATAAAACTTCAAACATCGCAAAATAAACTGGTCAGACTACTGCTTGACCTTTCATCTAGAACCCACCTCACCTCTGCCCACTTTGACAACCTAGGATGGCTTAGAGTAGACGACAGAGTACAGCTACTTGCAATGGGCCTGGTCTACAAGATCCACTACACCTCTATGGTACCCATGTACATGTCAAAATTCTTCCCAAAGGTCA